TTTTTGAAATTTCTTTCTTTCTTTTTGAAATTTCTTTATCGCACTGGGACTGTATATAACTGTAATTTTTGCAGGTTTGCAGAACTCCACCGAGATTCAATCATAACAACTTTACGTATTTTCTATTTTTACATTTGCTTTCGCGCCATTCCCTTTAATTGTTCACGTGGCTTTTATTGCATTTTCTTCACGAAACCTTGCACGATGTACGTCGTCGACATCGATAGATAACTGGAGATTTTCATTCCCAAGAGGTTTGGAATAGTAAAACATCACGCCCAATGATAGATTGTAAAAYGATCTATATGATTATCTGTACGTGGAATTCCTGCATAATGGTTGGCATGGAAGGGGATATTGTTCAGGAACTGGGTAATCTATTCAATAGCCTTTTAATATGCGCAGACCTTCTTTATATGGGGTCGTTAAGTTGTTATGAAATGTTTCGTGTAGTGACGACTCCAGGAACGTCTGTGTAGGAAGCTATCTTCGTAAACTAGGTGAACAGTACAGTACTTTGTCATGCGGTWTTTTCCCATTCTATCGATACMCTGAAAGAAACCTCTGTGCTGAAAGTCAGGRCATGGCTAACTGAAAAATYGGCCTGGAATTTAGCGTGCCGGTTCATGAGTCTTGTGAAGCGAGGAAAAAACGCGGAGAACCCGAAAAAGAAAATCTCAAATCGATGGAAAGACCTAACCAGCTCAGTCTACCCGCATGTGGTACTGAGTCCAGGAATCAAACCCGAAGGCCAGAGGTGAGAGACACGGGCCGACTATCGCACGCCACCCTTAATTGATTCATTTTCTCGCAGTTTAGCATGAACCTGMTGCAGTCGTGTAATTTATATTCCAAAGATACCACATGATTTTGTTCATGATCTTCTTGAGAGATCGCGCAACTAAGCGTTCAGCTGTAACAACTAGATTATTGATTGAGGCATAACTAGCCAGTGGAACTTGGGCATGACCGTAGTAGTTCCTTCTGGTGTTCAGTTAGATAGCGACCGTAATCGCTCTCACTATCTARCTGAACACCAGAGGGAACTAATTTCCAAAGGATCGCTTTCGTAGCCAAAACCGTAGTGTAGCATATAGCTTGGGTAATCAGTTTTGGTTTCTTGGAATAAAGAGGTTGTGCATTTCTTTTATTAATTATAAATTTATAACCGACTTAACTCTTCTAATTTCATCACGGTAAAGCCAAGACTATTAACTATGATTTTATGCAGCAGGTGTTTTGTTTCTTGTTGTTGTTGTTCTAGGTGTTTGTTTGTTTGTTTGTTTTTCTCGTAGATATCACTGATAGATATCAGTACTTTGCCATACGACGGCAGCTTCCCTCCCACTCAACAAAAAAAGTGTTGTAGATGAGTAATCTCTTTGGCACTYCCAAACCAATTTCTACTATAAATTACATAAAGAGAAATTTAAGCGTTTATTGGTGCATCGTACAGCTTAGCCGTACCTTTAAAATTTGTCTGATTAASTGTTCGGCAACTTTTTCTTCTTTTCTTATTCCTAGATATCGCCCATTTGTGTTACCGGTAATTGAACTCTGAGACTCCTCATCTGATTAGTCGGTTGAGTTCTCTTTCTAACTTTCATTATACATACTGTTTACATAGCGGGAAATGTTTCTGACTCATTGTTCGATTGATTTGATTGCGTTATAGACTCAAATCGTTGACCGAATTTGACTCAAACATTGCGAAAATTTCAGGAGGAAACTATGTCAGAGACGTCGTTTCCGTTTCGCTCAATAAAACGCGCCGCTCATGGTATCCGTACCTATGGTCACTCAACCAGAATTTATCCAAATCAAATTGCGTTACACTTTGATGTACGCGTGAACGAACTGTGAACGAATGCGCTAATTTTTCCACTGATACGTGTGTTATAACGACATGAGGTCATGATTCCATCTTCTTTTACCGCGCGCTAACTACGTTTTCATACACCCTTTTTCCGTTGGTTCAAAACAGTATACCCTCAAAACCATCTAACGACAACCACGCTATCCTGCCAACAGGCGGCAACATCTGACTCATCAAAATTTTAATAACAATTTCTTTTCAGTTAATCGGTAATATAAATATGTCTGAGATAATTTTGTGTAAGGGAGAGGGGATTTTAGTTGGTCTTTCATYGAGATGAGAAGGCGTCTGTGATTGGTCAATCCGTAACCGGAAGCGGCTTATGGCTAATAAAGAGTGACAGGCACGTGATTTGAGAAGGCAGCAAGCGTTCTGTCGATCAGTACCTTGGCTTGAGATCTTCCATGGTGGTGTGAAAGAGTCTTTAATTTTTMCACCAATTTACCAGCGATTGCACTCTACTTGAAAGCATCAATTGACATGGAATCGGTGGCGTTATCTCGGCTTTGGCCGCAACAAATCTCTATTTTCTTCTTCTGCTTTTGTTTAGTTTTGTTAGGTGAGTATAACATAGCTCTTCTTATCATTGCCCGGCATTTTTTGTTTTCCGTCTCTTTGAAAAATTCAGACCGTTTTGTCCCTTTTAAAATATTAACCCTATTTAGAAAACTGTTCTTCCCTTAAACTCATCCTTAAAGTYGATGAATGTGCCCTATTTTGATGGTAGATACTGCGAGATGACAGAATAAATTCTGTATGTTGTTGTTGTGTGGTTAAAAAAACAAGAGGCTGGTAGCTTGTCTTTATCAAGCCTTCGAAGTGCAGGGCTTTGACCAAACTCCCTCACTTTAACCTCAAATCTCGTTTCTGATCGAACTGATTACTCTATTTACTATACTCGATTCCTCTTCTGATTAAACACTTTATATTTTTATTTATCTTTAACGTTCTGTATATTTTCTTCGGCGATTGTGTTGCCGTGATACCTGTTGACTGGGTATTCCTGTCTTCTTCGCAGGCTCACTAAAGGAATCTCAAGCTCAAATATCATTTACCGAAGAACCCAAAGCCACGAAAGCTATTGCTGGAAAACCAGTAGATCTAAACTGTAAAGCTACAGCTCCCAGGAAAATAAGATACGTTTGGTTTTTCGATGACAGTAGAATTGCTCCCGATGGTTCACGACTGATCATACGAGCCGATGGGACTTTGCATATAGCTAATGTCGACACAACAGACGCCGGGAATTACCAATGTAGGGCATCATATCGCGATTTGACCGCCGGTAAAAGAATAACCAAAAAAAGCCAGATTGTCGACTTAACAGTATACGGTAAGTAAATCCATGAAGATGTTATATTATACTTTGGATTCAATGTTATTTAGCTTGGTGTCATGCATTGTTGAGGGTGCAGTTTTATTCTTTTGAAGTACKTATCGAGCTTGCCTGACCCTAGAGTAAACCAAGGCAGACTTGTGTTTGCTCACTAGCCCACCAAAAGAAATTTAATCACAAARTGTTCTTTTTAAGCATTGCGCAGCCGATGATTGTGTATGCCGCGATCTAGAAACATCATAAATTATGTTACAATTCAATTAATTTGAAAGGTATTTTTTGGTATACATGAAGTTTTGATTATTCTTTTCACGGGTCATGCTCGTCGAATTATTCCATTCTTACCAAAGAACTCGGCTTAAAAGACACTTAAGTAAAGACCCTAGGTTCTGATTCATCCTCACACGATTAGAAGATAATAGAAGGAAAGCGCTAATCATAAAGTTGCGGTGAAGCTTTCTTAGTTACGCCCTAGCAGGCTCCGCTCGTGTGTTAAATCAGAAGTGCTTCGATATTACAWTTTGGCTACCGTCTCAATATCATCGTTTCTTAACATTTAACCTTATTTATTTATACAAAGCTATGAGAATTTATTGTCTTGCGATTTATGGCCTAAATTAACTCAGTGAAAGCTTTTTGGGATTTTTGTTACAGCTGATAAATATATAACAGTSTGATCCTTTAGCAACGTTAACTAAAAGCTCAATTATTCAAAACCTCCCTTCCTGGAGTTTTGTCTGTTAGGGCTTTTTTAAATGCATATGGCCATAAGCTTTGTCTAGCCGGCTTGGTTTGTTTGATATTCACAGTTCACAGGTTTTTTTTCTTTTGAAGATTTAGTCATAAAGAATATCTTTTTGATGGCACCTTTAGGGTTTTGTGAAATRGATTGATCATGCTGTGGTTACTATGCTGTGATTTCACATTGTTCATATGTTAATTAAATAAAAGTTTTATGGCTATTGAGTCTGAGACAGCAAGACCAGTCTTTATCTAAGGTTCATTAGCATTGCAAAATAAATGAAATCACATGTTTAGGTACAATGTTATCAGCTGACACCAATTCACATTTGGTCATAAAATAATGGTCTGTTCGTGAATGGAAAATTGCTCTCTCAAATGTTAGGCTATTCCTCGTGCCAAGACRCAAACAGTATTATCGAGAAAACCTACTTATCATTTTGGTCGGGAATCGAATTTGAGTTATATTAGCCCCATTTTTCATTCATAACCTGATTTTCTTGGCCATGATTCCAAGGGCTAGTAATCTATTTAGCGGTAATATAATAATTAGTGACATTAGGTATTGACAAACAAGGATAAAATTAACTGTTTTGTGAAGTATTTCATTTTGAAATAACTATACTTGATTTCTTGAAGCAAAGATATCAATTACAATCTGTGTGGAAAAAGTTTCCAAGAAGAGTTTGTGGATTTTTAAATTGAAACATAGGATATTTAAATAAAGACCTTGTTTGCCAATCAAGTAACTCTGTTGGCTACTAGGTACATCTATGGGCTTAAAACACATCTGCCCAAGGACATCATATGTCTGTATAAACAAAGTGGTCTATGAAAGGAAACATCAACTGTCTTACTTTCTGATTTGCTTTTATTTAATAGAAGAAGGCTGACACTTTGGTTTTATTTCAAAACAATCTTTTTTATTTATATCAATATAGATTCGATTTTTATGATTTAAGAACAAAAATTACRAGTATTAAAAATAGAGATTAGGGAAAACAAGAAAAATAACTTTATGTGTTGCAAATTCTAAATGCTTTTTGGTGAGAAACGTTTGCACTAGAACTCTGAAAAGCTGTTACTTATTGAAAAGTATGGCTTCTACGTAACACTCTAGCTAGTACTGAACTTCACATATTGGATATTTACAGTATCTTTTAATCTATCTCAAGGTAGCAAGAAGCATATTGTACATGARAAAAATATGAATTTTTCAATTTAGTTACCTCAAAATAATTAATGATAAAAATAAAATCATGCAAAACAGATATTATAATGAATTATATTCTCAAACGCTCTATTACAAAGGTTTTTTGTTATTGCTATTATTGCTTGTTAGTGAAATATTCAGACCTCTTGGATTGCTTGTTGTATTATTCMTGCTGGGAAGGGATTTGTGAGTCATGACTTTTGAAATTTTTTTGCTTTAGAGAAAAATGACTCCAAAGAGGTCACTTATCAAATGACATAGTTTAAGTGTTTTGTGGTGGGATTAATACCAACACTTATCAAAAACCAAAAAAACCTTAAGTTAATTCTGGAACAAAGTGCAAGTTCATGCAATCTTAATGATTTTCTTATGAATGTTTATCCAGCTTTTTTGGCTCTTAGTAATCATTTTTCATGGACACTCCAAGACTCCACATAATACCTTAACTTGTTTTGAGATCAAATAAGTGTATTTTCTGAGACTATACAATCACCGAGCTTTAGAGACTGAAATTCCATTGATAACTTTTCACCCTTGCAGGGTATCAATAATCTATAGACATAAATTTGTCTTTATTAATCAGATTATTGCTCTAGGTAGATTGAAACCTTTTGAAATGAAAAATATATATCTGTCAGTTTTTCTTGGTTGTTATCCTRTGCTTATACTCCTTACCCTTGACCTGAGTTTGTTGATTCGTGGAGAATGCTTGAGCTAAGCTGGTAATGATGACAAACAGCCTTGCCAAGTATGCAACTCAAGGACTACCAAGAAATTAGATATCGCAATATTTCTACCACAGTGGGCCACTCTTCGAGATGCGTTACCATGATTAGGTAACCTTTAGTGGTATCTCAGGCATTTAATCCTTGAATGAATTCTCCATTCTCCATTCTCCATTCTCCATTCTCCATTCTCCTTGATTTGAGATGTATGGTATTCTTTTTTATTTCTTTGATCAGAATTTGTCCCTCAAAGCATTTTGACTTGACAGCTAGCTATATTTCAAATTAAATTTTCGTAACAATGCTGTATATAAAAAGAAAGCTAATTTTTGTCAACTTAGATTATATAATGTTTCCTCGGCCAACAGGAGTCCCTTGAATACAAATCTAAAATTGACCTTTATTTTACACACTTCTAAAATTKAAAATTTATTTTCATTGTGGGATTATAATAAATGATAGCTGTTATTAATTTGTCACRCCATTGAGGTAGAAGGATCTTGTCATTTCTACTGCAATTTGCTTTTCTCTATCAGGCAATGGCATAGACTGGATGGTCCTGGTTAAATAAAAGTTATGTTACACACTTGTATATAAAATGATACTAGCAGCAGCATGCAGTAACCTTTATAATATTTGACCAAAAGAGAAATGCATGGATCATTAACTATTTGAAACCATGTTATATGAATTAATAAATGATATCTTAACTCTAATTAAAAGTGTAAAATGATATGGCATTCTTTTCATATATTTTTTGTTATATTGTGTTTCGAACTTGTGCAAAAACATGACTTTTAAGAATGAGGAAATGTATAAGGACATCGATCATAAGGATATTGTCTTGGTTATTTAAGAATTATGTCAATAAAAACTAAATCTTGAATACTTGTGCTGGGTCATAAACTTAAACTGCTGTGTTAAGTTAATGTGGAATTAGCATACAGTTTAAATTCATTTTCAAATTAAGAACTGGCTCCTAAAGTTTATTGCTTATAGCTAGAGTTCTAGCTTTGTTTTGAATAGAAGCAATATATTTCTTGTAATTGGCCTTGATTAGAATCTCTTCAGCTTATCAACTTGAAAGTATTAATTTGCTCCTTTGTAAGGTCTGCTTGTAGAGTTGCAGCAACACTTTCACTTATCTAGAGACATTATACTTTATATTGGCTGCATTCAATAGCTACAGTTTGAATACATTAATTGTCAAATCATGGGGCTAAAACCGTTAGACTTGATAACATTTATAGAGTAAATTCATGTGTAAAAATTTGTTACAWTGATTGCTGACTTCTTGCAACAAATTGACGTAGTATACAAACAAAAAGAAAAGAAATTAAAAGCAGTTATATTGAATTGAGAGCAAACGAGATAAATTTATGTAATAATATATTTATATTTCATGGTCAAAGTGCAACTTGCAAGAGTAAGACCACATTTAGGTATTTGTGTACTTCTGTGCACTGCTTTTTTGTTGCCAAACAAGCTTTAAAAATTAACACATCTTTGGTAAAACCAGCCAGCTTTGCATTGGAGTTTAATAGTTAAGCATACAAAAGCTTGTGCATAAAAGTACATGTGAATACTTTATCGTCGGAAATACGTTAGGATCTTTTTTCYGTAATATAAAGTTGGCAGGGTGAATGTTACATATAGGTCAGCCATGTTGGTTGAAGATAACAAAGMATTCTTCTTATCTTTGCTTGTTAGGTAAACCAACATGACGGCACTGTTTCATGAATCGTTATTTATATCTCATGGGATATTTGATTGATGTAGTTGCTCCCTAAAAATGGATAATCAAGCGGTTAACGTTCTCCTTGTTTTTTTCSTTTAGATTTATGTTCCTCCATAACGTTAACAAGTTCTCCATCAGGGCCAGTATTTCCCACTGGATCTACTTTTACCCTCAAATGTAAATGTCCCTCAACTCCCAGTGCTACAACTGTGTGGACTAAAGACAGCACTCCAGTAACATCCGGAGGCCAAATTACTTTAAATGGCAACAAACTCATTATAAAAAATCCAACCACTTCAGATTCAGGAAAATATGAATGCAGTGTTTCTAATAATGCTGGGACGAGAAACAGTTCTGCAATTGATGTACAATTTATGAGTAAGTATTGAGTAATTGCGAAATTAATTTTATGAAGGTAAAGAAAGGAGCCAGCTGTACAATGCCTCAATAAGTTAGTAATACACCAGGGCCCAGTTAGACAAAGGGTGGGCAGAGCTATCTGATGGATAAATCTTATCCAGTGGATAAATTTATTGGATAATAGCATCACTTTATCCACTGAATAAGGATTGATCAATAGGATAGCACTATCCAACATATTAACCGTTATCCAGTGGATAAGTTGATGCTGTTATACAATAAATTTATCCACTGGATAAGAGTTATCGAATAGCGTTATGTTGGCTAGCCACCCCATTCAATTCACGTCCTGGATTTGCCCCTGGSTTATTATATCAAATAAAGTACTGAAAATATTTTTGTTCAATTTTCAGAACTGGTGGAACCGACATTTGATGTAAAGCCTAAAGGYGTTACTGAAGCAGTAGATCAGTCTGTGTTACTAGACTGCAAAGCATCTGGGAAACCACAGCCTACTATACAGTGGTACTTTGAAACCCAAAACACAGCTCTGTCCAACACTTCAATATACACTGTCTTTAGTAATGGCTCYTTATTAATCAAGAAGATTGGAAATGATAAATTTGGGAATTATAAGTGTGAAGCTAAGAACATAGCTAACAGTAAAACAGTTGTCGCAGCTGTTTCAAAAGCATGTAAGTATCAGAGTAATACATTTGTATTAGTATTTAAGAGTAGATTTCGAATGACTGCGACAAAGGCAAACACAAAGCACTTTCCTTGCAGAAATTGATGACATTATTTAAACTACAGTAGCAATGGTTCATGCATTCACAATATTATTTTACACAAAAGAGGACCAATATTCAATGTATCTACTAATATTCTTCTAACATAAATTGATTGGCAAAAAAGAAACAATGCTCAGGGGAATGACAATGTACATGTGGTGTAAGATGTCTAAAAGTTTGACTATAAAATTCCCTGTACTGTTTGATTGACAAGATTTCAATTTTCTATCACTTCTAGACATCAAGAACATTCGTTTCCGAAGAGATATAGAGTATGCYGAAGTAGGCAAAGAGTTYCTATTGGATTGCAAGGCACCTGGTRACCCTAAGCCATCAGTGACATGGCTAAATGCAGATGGAGGACCACTTCCAGCARGTTATGATGTCAAAGATGCTATGACTTTAAGAAATAAGATGGTTAAGGTGACTGATAGTGCAAACTTTACTTGTACTGCTAAGAATGTGGCTGGCAATCGATCTTCTGATGTGCAAGTGATTGCCTCAGGTAAGAATAATTAATTTTTCACTCTCAGTGGGAGGCCAAATCTCGATACAGCCAAACAGCAGATGGATTCTACCGAAATGCTCTCAAGGGGAGGATTTAAGATATGATCACTTGGGGATTTGTAATATATATATATATATACATACATACATGTATGCGTATATATATATGTGTGTATACATAGCTCTCCATATGTGTATATATATATATGTATGTGTATAATTTATAATTATTATTATTTATTATCATATATATATACATATAGGGGCTTTTTTGTGATAGAAGGTAAGTTAACGCACTAAATAACGATAAAAATCCCTTTTTCTTGTAAGAAATATATTCTTAGTAGATATCTAAAGTAGATTTCTGCTATTAACTAGCCAAGAAGAGAAAAAATATGGTATTTTTTTGCACAACGATGTGAAGACCTACGAAGTGTTTGGTCTTGTTTTGCTGTCTTCATGACCTCWAAACATACAATATTTTTCCTCTTCCTGGTGAATGAATAGCAAAAATCTACTTAAAATATCTTCTTTTTAAAGTATAGTTCTTGCAAGAAAAATGCACTTTTAAAGAATGAAGTTGAAAAATACTTGAAAAGTTTTGAAAAAAAAGTCGTCTTGAGGGCATGACGCATATAGGCGCATAGTCATTTTAGAATAAATCAAATTCTTTTTAGTTTAGTTTAGTTTAGTTTAGTTTAAACATGAGAAATACAAATTTTGTGACTGGCGAAGAAAACAGAACTTTCGTCCCAATTGATATTCCCTCTCCATACAATTTACATACAGTACAAACWTGATTAACATTAAAATTGATGAGGAAAAACACAATAATAAAAGAAAAACATAAAAATTTATCAAAATTCAAATTCAAAAGACTTTAAGGTGGTAAGTAATGTTTCATTTTGGAAGCAAAATGGGTGGTCCCAAGTTCCCTTAATTAATGTAATTCCTGTTTGCAGTGTACCCAAAATTTACCACAAATCCCCAAGACATGTTAGTGGAAGAGAATAAAAAAGTGGTACTCAAGTGTGCTGCAAAGAGTCGACCCCCATCACGTATTTCTTGGAGAAAATATAATGAGAGAGTTCTAGCTGATGGAAGTAATACCATTATTAACGAGGGAACGCTGACTATCAACAAAGTAGAACACATGGACTCTGGAATGTACCAGTGTGTGGCAAGACATCCTAGCTCCAAGTCAGAGAGTAGTCGTAGAGCAAACTTAACAGTTTTAGGTAAGATTTCAACTACTGTATCAGTAGAGCTCTTTACYTTGGGTGTAATRTTTTCCCATTTCAGACCACTTGTCATTCCYTAGATTATTATTTTTTTGTTTAACGGTTGCGCTACCTTGGGTTCCAGAGGGATTTTTCCCACGGATTTATTGAGATCGGCGAAGCCGCGAATCGGAGTGCAATTCAAACGAATAATCTTATGTATACCCGAAGCAAAACCAAGACCTTCTCACTTTTTTTGTTATTTTTTATCTTTTTCGCCAGCTGCTGTAAGATTAGCAGATTTTCACAAAATTGATCACAAATTTAAAATGGGAACAAACGACTCCAAGATCTACTGTTTCTTCACGGGACATCCACCCATCTCGGTCACCTGGAAGAAAATCGGCTCCAAAAAGTTCCCCAAGACAACCGTTCCTAATGGAGAACAGMTATCATTTAAAGATATGAAGATGTCTGATGGAGGAATCTATTCGTGTACTGGCTCCAATGCGTTTAGTAGCGTCACGGCGCTAGTTAACGTCTCAGTATACAGTAAGTAACAATGCAATGATTTGTTTATCTATTTCTAACGTCTCAGTATACAGTAAGTAAGAATGCAATGATCTATTTATGTTTCCGATCAAAGTCCGTGTTTGATCCATCTGCCTGCAGGTTAGACATGATAGAATGTTTGTTTATTGATTAGCGTTTTTATCAGGTACTGTATGTTTAGTCTTGAGAAACCGAGTCAAACAAATCCCAGGCGCGAGCTCCACAAACGTGATACGAGATTCTTTTGGGTTTATTTCAGTTTACCCTGAATTCGTGCTTAAACCCAAGAACACCACTGCCATCATCGAAGAATCCGTCTGGCTTCACTGCAACGCGTCCGGTTACCCCAAACCAAAGATCAGCTGGGGAAGAGAAAAACATGGTGGAGACAAGCTAAACAAAGAGCGATTCCATAAGTTCGAGAATGGTACCCTCCACATCGAGAATATACAGCCCGGTGATCAAGGCAGATATTATTGTATAGCAGCCAATAAAGCAAGCTTCAGGCAGATAACTATCTCACTTTGGGTGATCAAACCTCCTGCTGCTGTGGCTTATACGACGAATACGATGGGCCGTACGATTGGGATAGCTGTTGGTTGTGCTGTTGCTTATATAGTACTGGTTGTTGGGCTTATGATATACTGTAAGAGTCGCCGAGCGAGGCAACAGAAGAGAGAACAACGTAAGTAATTGTCTCATGGTAATAAAACAAACTGAGAATGCCGTGTCCCGTGGCCTCGTCTCTCACCTCTGGGGGATCCCCTCCGTAGGAGTTTTCTCCTGTTTTACTCCCTCCTCAAAAGACATGCTGAATTTTAAATCAAGCTGAGCTGGTTAGCCGTGCCCTCACATAGATCAGTCCAGAGGTTGTTTCAGGGTTCGATCTGTGAGTTAGCCGTGCCATGACATAGATCAGTCAATAGGTTGTTTCAGGGTTCTATCTGTGAGTTAGCCGTGCCCTGACTTAGATCAGCCCAGAGGTTGTTTCAGGGTTTGATCTGTGAGATAGCCATGCTCTGACTTAGATCAGCCCAGAGGTTGTTTCAGGGTTCAATCTGTGAGTTAGCCTTGCCCTGACTTAGATCAGCCCAGAGGTTGTTTCATGGTTCGTCTGAGAGTTAACCGTGCCCTGACTTAGATCAGTCCAGGGATTGTTTCAGGGTTTGATAAAATGTTTTCTTGTGCCAAAATCAAATGATTGTAATATCTTATTGTACATAATATCTTATATATCTTTTCTTATATTTTTCTTATGGTTTGGTTTTCCAGTGACTGTAGTTGCAGCTCACGATCTTGAAAACTGCGATGAAAATCCAGAGATGGCTCTCCAGCCAATCAACGGCAAACTCGGCAGCTACCATAAGATGGAATTCCCGCGTCACGATCTGGAAGCGCTGCGCACCCTGGGTAACGGTTCGTACGGGCGCGCATTCCTGGCACGAGCCAGTGGAATCAAAGACGGTGAAAGAGAGACCATGGTTGTGGTCAAGTCTTTGATAGCGAAGGATGATATCATCAAGGAAGACTTTCGGCGRGAGATGAGTGCGTTGGTAGATATGGACAACCCACATGTTCTGTCGTTATTGGGTGTGTGTAGGGAGATGGATCCGCTGTATATGATCTTTGAATCCTTGGAAAAGGTATGTGTCTTATTTATTTATTCATTCATTCATTCATTCATTCATCCATTCATTCATTTATTTTATTTATTTGTTTATTTATTTATGTATTTGTTTATTTATTTATTTATTTTTTGCAAAATCAATTTCGGGTTTCAAAAACAGAACATAGAAGCTGAGAGCGAAATGGTACACAGGAATAGTACGTTAACGAGAGATATCAATAGGGATAGAAATGAAAAAACAAAATAAAATGACTGTGTATCTCATTAAATCAATACATCAATAGTTATCATGTGGTTAAGACATGCAAAATGTATCTACCCATAATCCCTGCCGGTCTTAGTTATGTTTGGGATTTTTAAGTGACTATGATATAAACCGCTATGCGCTATACTTTTCTTCTTTCATGCCGACCTGTATTTACCTAACCGCACTTTGTGCTTATCTGCGTTTTCGTTCTCACCACAGGGTGACCTTAAGCAGTATCTTCTCTCATGTTACGACAATGGTCGCAGTACCATCAACTCAAGCCAGAAACTCTCCATGTGTTCAGACATCGTCTCCGGCATGGCATACCTCGCCGCAAACAACTTCATCCACAAAGATGTTGCTGCAAGAAACTGTATGGTCACTAAAGACTTGCAAGTCAAGATCGGATTCCTGAGCCTTAGCTACGACCTGTACAGCAGCGAGTATTACAGATTTAATAATATTCTTATTCCTTTGCGGTGGATGGCACCTGAAGCCATCTTCAACGACGACTTCACAGAGAAAAGCGATGTCTGGTCATTTGGGGTAGTTTCCTGGGARATTTACACGTTGGGACGGACACCATACGAAAACCGTTCGGATGAGGAAGTTCTTAAATGCGTCAAAGGTGACCTTCGCCTCTCTAAGCCGGATAATTGTCCTGACAGCGTCGCCAGTGTTATGACCAAATGCTGGGAAGATGATCCTGATAATAGACCGACATTCGAGAAAATATACGCTGAAATATCTGAAGTAGCAGTCGACAGCCACGTATGATTACCAAGCTAAAACCAAACAATTTATGTGGACTCCAAATATATAGAAGATAACAAGTCCTGGCCTGGTTATATTCTTAGTATTTGACTATACGTAACAGAGGTGTGGACGATTGCTAAAAGCTGCATCTCGTGAGATAACAACGCGAGAGATTGGCAAGATAATCCACTTACAAACTTTGCAGTCAGTACACTTGAAGTGTAAGAGGGGTTTAGATATAGCTCGGAAGTTGTAAAGCTAAACCTCAGATTCCAGTACTCCGGTACCAAGTCAAGTCGACTAGATGACATGGGTTGGTAAACAAGGAGAAAAAGAACTCGTAATAAGGACAGAAACAAAACAAGATGGTCTGTTCTAGTATTATTATTATTATTTTATTTTTGAATCAATGCTTTTAACTWTATATTTTTTAGTGGGTTCTACTGGTTTTGACCTTGCACACTTAGCGTAACATTCAATTCCTATTCACTTCTTTCGCATACCCATAATACTTTGCGGCTTGGGGGAGGGGACTGGGAAAACTGAAGGCTGATCAGACAATGTTGAAAATACCTCGTTTGATATCCAAATATTAAACAAGAAACAGAAAGAGATAGAAGGAGTTTAAATATTTCTAGGTAAGATAATACACTTTTTGTAACACCATGGCTTTTGATGTACTGGACGCTTAAGATTAACTCARAATGAAATGCTAATCAATATTGTACAGACAAAAGCAGGAATAGTGTGCATTCAGTGGAAAAGCGTTTCATTTTGGGACACTGTTTTGATAGGTTACCCCAAGCCGCAAAGCATTGTGTGCATGTGAGAGATGTGCATGTGAGAGATGCGCATGCGCGAAAAGTTAACTTAACACCACAACAAATTACCACGAAAAATTTGCTACGGAGTACACCTGTAGCCCTTTTTAGTTTTAGATTAAAGATTTGTTTTATATGTTTATTCTTAGTTGTAGTTTTTTGCGCTCCTTAACATGCCTTGGATTTAGAAGCTTATGAAGAGGCCTACGCATAGATTGAAGGATGTAGCGAAGATATTTTCTTTAATTATGAATATTTTAATAGCAGAATAAAATAACATTAAKTGAAATTTCATTCTTAGATAGCCAAAATTAGAATAAATCATTCAATGCTTAGTGAGTCGAGAAGTGAAAATGTTAGTACTGTACAAACTGCCGTTCTATGGCTCTCAGATGATTAACTGGCTTCCGTTTTCTAGTGAATTTGATTGGCTGAGATCGAATACCATTTGAAAGTCAAAGAACCGCACGTTTCCCGCTCGAAAAAAATGCTGTTGTCAATGTATTGTTATCCTACACTGGCTGGTGTCTGAAACAACCCCAAGGGTCTGTCTGTCTGTCTGTATATTTAGTGAAGTTCGTGGCTAGTCATGTGTAGAACAAGGTTCGACTTTTTGATTAATTACCTTACTTTTGAATGTGCCTGCTCTTGGTCGAAATAGAGGCTACGCTCCGTAACGTGGTGGCAATCATGTGGGGAGGCACGGCAGTGGAGCCTTTTTCCCTGGATTCCTGGATCTTTCGTAAATCAGAGTATACCAGACTGATTCTATATTGTTCCTGCTCMCTGTCATGGCTGCCATCACGTGACGGTGCAAAGCCTCTGTGGATACTAATAAATAATACTAAAGAAGGTCGACTGGGGTGCCTGTGTCATTGGCAATCTAATTGTTAAGTGTATGTTAGGGGAGGGGAGGGATGATTTGTAAATATTGGTAGGAATTAAAGTGTGCTACCATTTGGCATTTCTAGAGACCACACCCATGYCATTAGAGTGCGTTGACTTGGAAACTAAATATTAACGGCATGTTTAAGTTTTTATTCACTGAATAAAGTAGATCAAAATTCCGGCTGTCGGTGCATGAAATATTGAAGTCTAATTATGGCCTTAAAATAACTAAAAAGATCTTTATTTTTTTGCTCTTACATGTATTTAACTTGAGTCTTATTATTATAAACTGCAGTKTTTATCTAGTATCGATTCCAAAATATCAGGAATTCTTGTGTAYATCGTTGGCGGAGATACGTGTAGAAAACTCACTGCGCATGCTCGGAAGTTCGGCGGGGAAATTCGTACAAAAAAATGGAAAATGTTTCTAATTTCCTTGGGGGATGGAAAGTATGCGAAAAAGGAGCGGCTAATATAACTTACTACTGTTCATCTGTGCTCTCATTCTTGAACTAGGTTCAAATTATTGATCTTATTTTGAATATTACTCTGGACGCTCACTTCRAACTTTTAAGATCACTTCAAATACAAAGCTAAAGATTATCAATTAAGGAATTCAAAACTATATAGGTTAATATATCTTTCCTATCACTAAAACGCCGGTATACAGCTAAATATACTACTACTACTACTGAGAAATAAGTGGCAGTTAAGTTCATAGGGATTGCGTTGTTAAGTTTATGGGAGAATTCGGTCTTAACAATGTTAGAAGAAGAAAAGAGTTTTATCAGAAAGCGCAATAGCTTCTTATTGTATAATTAGCTTGAAAAAGAGGTTTTAAGGATTCCACTAACAGCCTAGTTTTCAAGCTAGATCCAGTATTCACGTCCTAGGAYAGGTGCGCAAAAGGTCTGGGGCGCTAATCCATCTTGTATATAAAGTGYATGTTAGTTAATGATTTAGTTTTGTACCAAACTAATCCGATCAAACGAACTGTAAAATTCTTCACTATGAATAGTCCCTTTCACAGATTCCAGCACCATCTTGAAAGGTAGTCGTGCCTTTGCACCCACGTGATACGAACGGTGAGCTCCCAATGATAGTAGAGACTTCTTTCTATTAACACCTTGAACAATTATTCACGTCTCTATCATTGCAAGCAGACCGTTCGTCTCGCTTCGATGCAAGGCACGGCTACCTTTCAAGATGGCGCAGGGAACTGTGAAGGGAACTATTAAAATGATATATATCGAATTAAAGGCTTTAGGACTCATTAAATTCGCCCAAAGGCGCTTTTTACCGTGGAACCTTTGCTGAACCTTGTGCGCAGCGCGCGGCTCGCGAGAGGTGATGCACGGTACAACGTAGTTGCTTCCAGATTCACGATGCCGCTCCACATAAATTTCAGCAATATGTTTCGCTGTGTTGCAGACTCTTAAAGATACTAGCTAGCCGAAGTCGGTGTAGTTTCGTCGTTGGGACATGCCGTCATCGTTCAAATAGAAATACTATATCTAGTTTTGTAAAAGATATGTATGATACTTAGGACTAAAAGAATTTAGAAGTGCATGCGTGGTAATGCTAATAAAAATATTCCACACAGCTGTTGAAATTGTCTTGATCTTTTTTCTTTTGATATATCAAGATAATTCTTATATTTGCGCATCCGAGTGCTGAATCGTGGCGGCCATGTTGACTCGAAGTCAATAGGTTTTTCTAGACGAGTTGCTGCATTTTAGCAGAATGCTCCAGTTTCGAGTTCTCTTTGCTCAGCCTTAGTATCGGTTGTGTGTTAAAATATTCAGCTATTCAACTAAAGCCCGAGGAATTTTAATCAACTTGTATTGTGCCATAGAACACATTTGTACACAATCGAGGCTAATATTGAGCCAAGGCGCACTCGAAATGAGAGTATTGGCTTGCAAATAAAWAACAAGTTGCTGCATGTTAGGCAAATGTATTCTTTCTTTTTTTCCCCGCGCACATTTTTAAAGTTCCTAACCCCCACTCGTTTCTGTTCACCGTATTCCTCGACATTCAATACAAACGGCGTCACTCCGTGGCGCAGTTTTTAATTTTTTCAACCGAATTGTAATCGTTTTAGAGTATTCGATTTTTGAATCCGACACTGACTAAAAGGACAGCACTGGATGCTTTGGGATGAAGTGAACCGCATGTAGGAGACGGCGCAGATGAATTACAATATAATGAAGATGAAAGATTTGCACCTGGAAATTCAGTATTGGACTAAAACCAATAAGTTTCGTTTACTTTGGGTTTAAATACTGATAACCCTTCGTTTCTAACGTTTGCTGTTTTATACAACATTTATATTGTTATCTAAAAGAGAATAGTTCAAGTTTCTTAAAGTACGCTTGTTTAAAACCGGTTTGTAACCGAGTTTTTCTATAACATGTGCGCAGTGCTGGTCTATCATAGCTACAACTCTCATGTCCATCGCAAGTCTCCAACTGCTATCATCATCATTATTAATACCAGGTTTTTGACGTTTAACATACTCATTCACCTCTGCGGTTCTATCAATGCCAGCAAATTTGAAGGCAATGTCTGCTGTTTTAACGAGATTTCTACCAACATCTTCGTATCTTATAATCTGGTATTGTTGTGCCAGATCGCTAGGTAGTGATCGAAGGAAATCAGAATCCGTGTTCAACTGGACACAGCGCTTCATGATTTTATTCTCGAGCGTGGTGAGTTGGTGTGAGTTTTTCTCCGAGTGCCTGTCTTTGGAGACCATTTCCCAGACAACTGCTCGAGGATCCCGCACAAAGTGTAAAACCCTGGTAGCCATAGACTGCGACGTCATTAGAGGGAGCAATCCCGCGAGTACCCCTCCAGGAGCTCTCTTGGCATATAATGATAAAACAATATGCATTTTTCTTGCGCAAACGATAGAAACCCACTTGGCGTTCAGCAACGGACAGTCCTTCAAGAAATCACTCTCGTTTGTGTAAGTGCTCACCTCTTTTCTACACAAGGGAGGAGAGGATAGGGCTTTGCTTGACAATCGAAAACGAGGCGACGAAAGCCTTGGATGCGACAGAAACGTCAGGTAATCCCTATATCCATTTAATCTACAGTGAAATAAGTTGTCCAGGAATGCTCTGACTTGACCATTATATTCGCTTTTGCGCGTGTAGTTTAGATTCTTGAACATCTCAAATGGATAAAGAGGCTGTTCAACGTAGAAGACTTTTGGGTGTTGGTTGAACAGATCTCCAATGATGTTGGGATCATTAGGTGAGTCAGTGACTATTATAACATTCCTATGATCAGCTCTGTCCCATTGAAAAGTAGGTGGTCGTAGATAGACAACCCGAGGTCGACCCAGTAGAGGGGAAAATCGCAGAACGGTCACGTAGAAATACATGGAAAAGCTTCCAATGACTGCGAGAATCATCATGGCCCGTGCCACGAACATGGCCAACAGCGGCATGGTGATCTACTACGTTATCAAGGGGCGGAAAGCGTCAGTGAAGAAGTAAACTGTAAAAAACCGTTTAGTCGTGTAATTTCATTGTCTAATTGCCTGGAAATAAAAAAACAATTTGATGCTGTCATTAATTCTCTATCAGTTACCTCTCCTCACGGTCAACTTCGTTAGTAGAATTGCGTCTCAAAGAAAGGGATTTTTATAATTTCGTCGTCTGTCTTGAGACTAGCTACTGGTTAAAAACAAAAACACTTATTTAAAGTCTTTTCATAGTCTGTTGATTTACTCAGTCCAGCCACCAGACACGTGTTGATCAAGTAGTACAAAGCGGCAGTCAAACAAAAAATTTACTTCAGACCGACGACCCAAAACCTCAAAGCCGCAGAGCGCGAACAAAATCAAGTTGTCAACGAATCGTGAGGAGGAGCTTCGAATACAAGAAGCAATGAACTGGTGAAATATTTTGCTTCAAGAATAAATTCATCTTACACATTTTACATACTGTTCTCTTCTTTTCGAAAAATAATAACAGTTTTAAAATGAAAAATATTTATTATCTTACCGTTGTATTTTATCTATCGACAACCAAGCTCTCTGGCGTCTTTAATTTCTTTTAAATTAGACGTCTCAGATCATACCTCCTCAGCTAATTTCGTCTTCAAAAAGGTTTTTTTAAATAATCACCTTTAGTTTTTTGAGAAGTCTCCTCTTGATGTCTGTGTATTTGACCAGGGTTGTTGATTTGTAAGCAATTTCATAAGTAAAAGCGATTAAGTCGGCAGCAGCAGGTTGATTAAACTTAATAAGAAAGAGCAGTCACTCAGTCGCGGGTACCAGCTTGGTTCAATGAGGTGTGACTACSAGAAATAGTGCGTCCATGACTGATCATCAGACATGAAGCGTAAAAACGATCCAGGTATAACATAAAATCGATAGGTTATGATGTCTCAAGACAAAAGATACTGACGACCGATTACTGGACCTGTAAAAGGATACTTCTGGGAATTTACTCACGTATGAAATACTCCATTTTACAGTCCCGTTCAGTGACCACAAATAATAGTTCCAAGTCGAGACTGGAGTTTCCGCACATAGAAAAACTATACTTTTTATCATGCCCGGTAACGTAACTCCAACCTCAGCTTGAGAGTATTATTCGTGGTCACTGAACGGAACTGTAAAACGGAGTATTGGATACACCCTGCATGGGTGCAACGTACTCCAAGCTCGTTCGCCGCTAGCTGATGATTTGGGTACTTTTAAATCTCCTTAAGATCGCAAATGGCATTCCATTCGGCATAGGTTTACGTACTCAACTCACTTATCTTTATTTTGAGTTAGACTCGGGGACAATAGACTTTCGAGTTTAAGTGAGAGTTAAAACCGGGACTGGCCTGCCCAATGCACCGGCGGGAAAATTAAAATGAGGTACGTGATCGGACAGCTTGTCTAGTGATGATATGTCTAATAATTCTGTCATAGATTTCCTATACTATGTTGCTTTAGAACTATTCAATTGCCTACATAACTTTTAATTAAGTAAAGTGTGATATATAAGTGAAGGGTTTTTAACTGGTTTAGATTATATCTAAAGTGCAAACATCTAATTCAATAAACGTTGCCATCGCCCAAGGCGAAAAGGAATATATTAGTGAAGGGTTAGAGTCAATCAAATGGACACAGTAGAAGGCAAGGGAAGACAGCTTGTCAACGAGATGCAAGAAGTGATCTCACCATGGTACTTTATCTTTAATCAGGTCAGCACTAGTCTGATATAATTAAAGATTATACCAGTATGAGGAAAATGAATTTAATTTTTGCACGACTTTTGCTCTAAGGATCACACCTGTCTGGGTGACGACCTTAAAATTTTCTCGGGAAATGGGAAGAGCTAGCCAGAAAAACGGAGAGAGTCTACAAAAACACTGAGAATAGACTGTGAAAGAAACACTAAATACCAGAGAGAATTTTTGGTAGTTCTCTTGATCGCGTAATTAAAAAAAAAAACTGCTTACTGTGTCCCGCTTCTGACACCAAAAGTACTTCTCGAGCCGAGTCTTTCCTTCCCTCGTCCCGATTAAAGCACTGGTACTTCATGTGCTTTACAGGTAGCCCATGCTGTAACATTCTCATAATATGAACTAATTTGGATAAAACTAAGAAAAACAAACTTACCTTGGGTTGAATAGCCAAGATAAAAAGGTGAAAATCTAACCCATTGAGCCTTTTTTCGATGGCCTTATTCTGCCTAGTTCACATATTTTCCTCCAAAAGCTACTCAGACGGTTTACTTTGGGTTGGGCTGCCTGTGGCTTTTATTCAAGATGGCGGCTCGTGGAGTGGCAGTACGAGAATCTAAACAACCAAAGTAGGTATTATTTAGCCTTCTTTCCATCAAGAAACACTCAGAAATAAACTAAGAATTATTAATTCTCTTTACATTTATCTCTTCAGGGAAATTTATCAAGATGCTTTAGACAACGTCTCTGCTTTCAATGCACGTCTTTGTTTCGAGCGCAAGATGCGAGCTCCCTTTCTGGACGCCCAGACTGGAATAGCCATGAATAACTGTAGTTTGTGGCTTAGTAGATTCATGAGGAGAGAGCCCAAGACACCTCAGTATATTTATACATACCCAGAGAAACGCTGGAGGAAGAGAAAACGAATCTACCATCCCGAGAATGATGAAGAAGAGGGCAGCCATGTTGAAAATGAAGGTGGGTTTAGCCTCGTTTAAGAGCAAATCATTTGCAAAAGTCAACTGTAATGTAAAGAATGTGCAAGTTGAACAATACCAATGTTTTGAAATCCCACGGACTTTTTATGGTATCTGTGAATAGCTGACTTATAAATGAGGCTAAGCCTATGCTATTGAGTCTGTGGTCTTCAAAAACAGCGGTATGCATCGAATGCGAAACAAGTTTATTTTCGCGAAACGCGAAGTGATTATCGGTGAATATTGATTATTAAATATTCACCATATTCACTGAGGGGAATGATTGTTTAATTTAAAAATTTGAAAAATAAAATAGAATAAAAATTCCTATTTTTCCACTTTTTTTTCAATCTAACTTTCTTTTGCTACAATAATGCTGTTACCTTCCAGTAGAGGGTAGTTCTTGCCCAGGTGAGCCAGACAGTGAACAGACAAGTGAAGTCCCAGAAAGTTCTGCCCAAGATGTCGTTAAAGATGATGTAATAGAGCAAGAAGTTGTGCCATTAGATTCTAGTGATCTGGAAGAAGACATTGAAGAGTCAACTGTGGTTTCTGATGACGAAGAATATGAAGCATACAAGAGAAAAAAACCTGGAAGACCAGGAAGAAAAAAGGGAGTAGCTGTTGGTGCCTCTGCCATTAAACATTTTCCAGTAAGCTTTACAAGAAGCATTCATTCATTCATTCATTCAATCATTTGCTCTTTCTCTTATGTATTTATTTGCTCATTCATTCCTAAATTTGTTCAATCCTTTATTCATTTATTTMTTTCTTTAATTCATTTACCCATTCATTCATTTTTCAATTCCCTCATTCATTTATTTAATAAATCATTCATACCTTTATATTCACATGTTACTTTTGTTAGCGTGCTGCAATGATGTCTAGTTCAGGATCCTTGACTGTCAGAAATATAACCAAGGAAGAACTGGCCAGAATGAACCCAGATGATCGCAAGAAACCTTATGTTTGTGAAAGTATGTTGCAGGAGCTTGAGTCTCGTGTTCTAGTTTTCTTCTTGCATTGTATTGAGTATTAAATATTAGCCATTTGGAAGTTGAGGGAAAAATAGATTTGAGTATTGCAGKGCTTTATGAGGCTTTTTCAGCAGACATACTTCCAAGATCAAGGGCGGATCCAGGGGGGTGCAAAGGGGGGCAAGCCCCCCTTCAGCAGAAAAACAAAACAAAACAAAACTGAAGGATTAGATGCTTTTTTTTATTGTTTTCTGTTGTGTTGACGGAAGAAACTCAATTAGCCCCCCCCATAAACTCAATTAGTCCCTCCCCTAAAATTTTGGCTGGATCTGCCCTTGAAGATGGCATCCATTTTGTCCCCTAAACAGTCACACAATACACTCTTTCACTCACTATTTATTTTTAAATTCATGCACTCATTATATTTTTCCAGTATGTGGAAGACGTTACAAGAATGGCCCAGGCCTCAAGTATCACTACACCCATTATAACCATGATCTTGATAACAACCCCTCGCAAGAGGAATCTCACCCCTCCATGCCGACAACTCCAGCTTCAAGCATGATTGCGGTGGAGTCACCAAATCCCCCTTCACCTGCAGTAAAGGTGGCACGCAAGATGGATGGACCACGACTGCATACTGCCACACCTAATAGTTACTGTGACTTCTGTTTGGGCGATAGACTTCACAACAAGAAGACAGGAGCATCAGAGGAACTGCTGTCATGTGCTGACTGTGGTAGATCAGGTAGGACATTTATAGAATTGTATTGGATAATCTGGCAGCCAGAGGGGAGAATATCAGTGACCAAAGTGCAGTCAAATGTTTATCACATGGTGTAAAAAACCTGTCCATGTGGTACAATATTGGCATCATGTGGACGATTTGAAATGCACTTGCAGTTAACATAGCAGTAACTACAAAAGGGATAAAAAATCAAGGCTGCCTTGGTTTACTGGGAAGAATAATATTCTCATTACAAAAATTAAAAATTGTACAAGAAATAACATTTATAAAGCATTCTGGTAGTAGTAGTAAAATAGTGCACTTATTATTTAGTTGATGAAAGGCAAAACATTATGGGTGGCGTAGTGGTTTGCCGCTAGCCTCTCACCACTATGGTTCAGGTTCAAGCCCCAGCTCAGACTGGTTTATATGTGAGTTGAGTTTGTTTGATGTGTTGTTCTCTCCTGTGCCACGAGGGTTTTCTCCGGGTTCTCCAGTTTTCTCCCTTTGTAAAAATCAACGACGTGCAAGTTGAGTGTTGTATGTTGTAAAATGTAGAATGTAGTGGTAGTGCGTGTGGAGGGAACCTCACGGAAGAGCCCTGTGCGGGGAGCAGTGGTTGTAAAAATGTTTGTTTTTTAAACATCTTGCTAGAACTGTAGATGCTTTTCTAACTATAATTATGTTTTCCACACAGGGCATCCATCCTGTCTGCAGTTTACTGCAAGACTAACTGAAAATGTCAAGAAATATCATTGGCAGTGCATAGAGTGCAAGTCATGTAGCCTTTGTGGCACTTCTGACAATGATGTAAGCATGATTAGTAAATTCTCAAAAACATCCATTCCATGTTGGAACAAATTTGTCATGCCTCTAGAAATGGAAAGTAGGTGTTAGCCATTCAGAGTTTGAGGGGGAAAACTGGGTCAAGTTGAGATTGAAATGCATTGTGGGACTGTTTGAGGGGATGAAATAGACAACATCTTGGAGATGTGTCGTATTTTACTCACAGAGGAGTATTGGAATTTCCAAGGTGGAATGGTCTGTGGGTGGCTTTATTTTCATCCGCATGGGGTCTCTGGAAGACTGGTTGCTTTCTGGTGGCAGCAGAATTTCCCTGTGTAGGGAGATGTGAATACATCTATAGTTGCTTGGTCAGATGGTACTTTTAATGTTTCATGGCCAGCACTTTGTATGCTACATATATATAGCTTTTTTTTCATTCTTCAAGATCCTTATTTCATGTTTCGATTTCTTCCTCAGGATCAGCTGTTGTTCTGTGATGACTGTGATAGAGGGTACCATATGTATTGCTTAAAACCACCAATGTCCAAACCCCCAGAAGGTACAGAAAATACTATACCTGTCTTCTAACATTTTGTCCATCTGTTGTTTTTCTTTCTTTTTCTCTCTTTCTATATGTTAGTCTACTCCTACGCAGCCCCTGTTAGTCGTGTGACGACACTAAAAACAACTGTGTGGGAGAATATATATATTAATGCCTCAGCATTTGTCAAGCTGGCCGTTTTGCTGGCTCAGTTATATACTACCTGTTTATAAACTGAATTTCTAACTGATCAACCTTTTAGTTACCAAAAGAGGCTTTCATATCTTAAAAAGCACTGACCAACAATTATTTATGTATTTATTGATGTATGTTTTAGGTCACTGGATGTGTAACCTATGCAGAGCATCTCTGGTTATTCAACCAATGGCTACCGTTCAACTTCAACAACCATCTTAAAGGGCAGTGGTGTTGTAGGGACACACTCAAAAGGCATGACACGCTCCTCCTCTAGAAGTGTTGTATGGATATTATATAGTAGATTTCTAGTACCCAGTGACATCATGAACAATCTCTCTCTCCTTAGCCTGCATACAGCCACTTACCACCCCACCCCCCTTTTCCCCATAGGCTATTCCTCCTGCTCTTGACCCCTATTAAAATATCATTATACCCATATCTTACTGTAATCCATCACTAACATACTAACATATATTCCAAGATGGGTGCAATGTAGGTAAAGAAAACATCCATGATTACAATGGGGAGGGGAGGGTGGGGAAATCAAAATTTTCCTTTAATCAATAGTTAGTATTGTAAAAAGTTCTTGTATAGGAAGTAATATAATACACTATGTTTTCAAGTTTCCAGGCAGCTGAAATCTTAAATTTGGAATTACTAGTACTAAATCCTTTCTTATAGTAGAGTGACCACAGTAAATCCGTAAAACTTTAGTAATACTAAATAGCACAATTTCATGCAAATTCCATTGTTTTCTATCGTTTAACTAGTACTATTTTGTACTATTTAGTCATTAGTGTTTCATGGATTTACTGTGGTCACTATGATTTTAGTATGATACAAAAATGTAATAAAAAACACACACAGGTAAATAAAGAAAATCTTATTAATGTAGTGATTGATGTTAGTGTTTGAGTAACCTATCTAAACAGCTACTGATTATATGGATACTTGCTTCGTTGTTGGATTAGGTCATGAATCAGTTGTTTACATGCAAAGTGCACACAAAACTGAAAGCATATATAAATATTGGTGCTAAACACTACTATTTAAACAACAGAAAACAAAGGTTCCAATATTCACTAAATTTCATACATACTTTTTCATTGTTTTATCATGTATACTATATACGAAACTTATTTGACAAAATTGAATTGAATCAGAAGGAACTATGTCAACTTGGTTGACAGATTGGCTGTGAATGTGAAGAAAATAGACTGGAAAAGGTTTTTGAAATTAGGCAGGATGAAAACAATTCTATTAATTTGAATCCATCAGAATAATTGCAATTACTTGAAACCATTATAAATTAGCATTTTAATAGTAAAAGAAGAGATGACAGTTGAGTTTAGTTTCAGTATGAAGCTGTTTATTCAAATTAGTTTGTTAAAAATATAATTCAAATTTAAAATAAATGTGTTACATCTTATTCAAACAACTTGAAAAGCAGTTACTTGTTTGTTAAACGAGAAAAGAAGGAAACAAAATAACACTGAGCTTTCTTTTGTTAATGATGGACTCCAGTAAAAATAAAAAATAAATATATATTGAGTGTYTTTCTATAATTATCACGTTAGACTTTTTACCACTACCAAAATCTCTTTTTTTTCTTTTAATTTTTTCATAATATATTCGACACATCCTTGACAAAACCTGATGGTTTAAAATATAAATCTCTTAACTAACAATCTTAGTTGCGATTTCAAAACAAAAGACATCTTGTTTTTTCGGGTCTTGCATCTCCCACTTGACAGCGACCTTGATCTGCAAGAGTAACAGCAGCAACACAGGTTGTCATTTTCGTTGTTCGTTAGTCTTTCTTCAAATTTTATTGATATCCTGGAACAACTTCTGGGCAGCTGATTAAAGTCAGCGCATGACTACTTCACAGATTGAACAATGAAACATAATCAGGGCTGCCATAAGTCAGGGCATGCTTAACTCACAGATTGAACCATGAAACAACCTATAGATTGGCTGCATAAAGTCCTGCTAATATAAGAACATGACTAATTTACAGGCAGAACCCTGAAACAACCTCAAGCCTTCTGTTGATCTGAGTTATTACAGTTGGTTTCAAAAAAATTTGGCCACTTGTTGTGTCTTATTACTTGGCTGAGTTTGAAGACATTTGGACCCATTTTCACTGGGTTATCGAATTTCCCCCCCTCTACTATAAATAATCGATAACCCAGTGAAAATGCGTCCAAATGTCTTCAAACTCGGCCAAGTAATAAAAGACACAACAAGTTATCAAGTTATGTCATTTTTATTCAAATAAACTGCAATTTAAATGATTCGAATTTTGACCGTTAATCGCTCACATTCAAAGCTTGTTATAAGCACTTTATTGCAGTGCTTGGGCTGCCTGTGCTTTAATTCTGAAGATTAAGTTCCCAAGTTCTCCAAGTTGGTCTCGAACTTGCGAATTTTTTGTAGAATTGGTTCAATCAACCATGACTTGTTTATGTCTAGAATTCAAATATTTACTGGGATTGCTTCTTTAAACCATATACTTTTTGAAAATCATATTCCAGACAACGTACGGAGTCAAATTCCTTTTGTCGCAATAAAATTTACTTTGAAAATTGAATTTGAACGGTAGATTTGATGAGTTTTAGAAGCTACTGTATTATCAGTTTGAAAGGTCGCCGACAACTGTCGGAACTTCATAGTGAAATTGATTACAAAGTTGTGAATTTGCGAACGACCATGCTTGTAACCAACTGGTTTGCCTCCTTGCCAGTCGGGATTCTTAAAACACTTTATGTTTCTTTGATCATTTCATTTCAGGTTATTAATAGTAGGAGGGCCATAATGGAAACTACTGGGTTATCAGTAATGTATGTCACCCTCGTTAAATAAAGTCAATTTATTTATTTATGACACATAGATATACTTACAGCTGGGTATGCAGATTTGATTTCCAGGGCACTTGAGTATACATATTTCTGACCAGCCTTCAATGGACATTTCAGTCCACTATCCTTACAGCAATCAGGATTCGGCAATGGGAAAGGAACTGGGAAGCCTCCAATTTCTCCATGGACAACAGATACTGCACTCGTCAGGTCTTCATCTATCATAAACAAGTTTAATTTAAAAATCAGTTCAAAGATAAACATGTATAGAATGAATAGCATGTATTGAATATACTATACAGCATATATGTCCCACATACTGCATATATCAATTACCATGAAAATTACTATTCAATATACCATTGTCTAAATGTCCAACCACACCTTGAGAGCGGCATACATCAGCATAAAAAACCATATACTAACATCCTGTACATTGTATGTTGTCAACCATACCATAGCCTAACTCACCCTATACCACTCACCCGTATTCTGCAAGTGACATACTGGTACATCAAAATGTAAAATACCACATATTTACTGCAACATACATACATACATGCATACCAATACTAATACCAATCCAATGGATACCAAATGTATTACTCAACATACCATATATAGCCTTATACCCACTGYTTCAACTCACACATTTATTTGCAAAGGATACATTACCTACATCAGAGCTTCCATTTTCATAGAAAAATAAGACTACTTTAGGTCAAAAATATGTATCAAGCTTACGTGGTACAAAAGTGACCTTGACTTGGACTTTAGTGCCCTTCTTGAGTTCACAAGGTTGTTTTGGGCATGGAATAACCTCAAGCTGGGTGATTTCTCCCTTGCCTTCACCTCCAGCTAATAAAAAGCAAAACGAAAGCATAGAGTCTATATCAAAACATGTGAAAATAATACAGTCAAATTTATAGTCTCTCGTAATATCTGCTTATCTATCAGGAGTTAGAGTGCTCAAATGCACTCCTAAAGAGTGATTTTACTTGGCAGAGAAAGAAATGATATTAAAGTACAGCGTATAGTAATGTTTTACAGAAAAAAGTAGTGTTCAAAGTACAATTAATTCATTTTCARTCTTAATAAAGTGCCTTTTCAAAATCTTTTATATTTATCAATCTCAAGAATTTGTAATGTTCAACTACATATTGCAGAAAAAGAAATTTGTAAGAGTTTTAAAAGATTAAGTTTTAGATTGTTTCTTCCTCTGAACTGGGCTGCGTTAGGAAWAAGGGGAGGAAAAACAGCCACATCCTGCTTCAGCTACACCAGCATGTTCCTAATATGAAAATCTATCTAGTAAGTAGCGTGTTACTTGTGATATAGGTTTACGAGGAAAGTAATTCCAATCTTGAAACCAGAAAATTTTATTGAAATCACATGATTGTCAAGAAGAAAAGTTTCTTGACATCACATGATTGTCAAGAAGAAAACTTTGATATTCTATGCTTACGGTATATTAAATCAGATTACTTACTACAGTCATCAAATTTGACCACTTCGGCGTTGGCAAGATACAAAACGTACAGGATACAAGCGATGAGGAAAACTTTAGCCATTATTCCAGAGAAGCTTGATCAAGTTCTCTCTTCAGCTGAGTTCGGTTTGAAAGATGAACGCAATTTATATGCAGTGATGTGAAATGCAAAATAACAGATGATCAAGACTTCTGATTGGTTGTTTGATCATGATATACCACGTGCGCTTGGCGCATGACATCGTATGATTCCCAAGCTGTGTGAACCAAATCGCGAGAGGGGTGCAGGCTTGACCTTTGTAACAATATATAACTTAGTGTAATAGAAGATTTCGTGAAAAGAACTTATTGTTCTGGAAAAAAGTAATTGAATCTTTTGTTAGTGGTGAATTGTAGCAGCTGAAACCTGTGAAAATATTAGCACAGTTGAAAGTAATAATGAGAAATCGGCATTGCGCGGTATCCACGTTTTCGCAATGCCGATGAGAAATGGGATTATAAAAAGTTGAAGTCCATGGATTAGTGCCTGTCGTATTTCACTCAACTTATTACTAAAACTTCAAATGTCATATCTATTTTTAGCACTCATAGTATAGATTTTGTTTCTTTGGGTGATTTTGCTTCGTAGAATATCAACACCAAAATGGTGTTACTTAATTTTTATCATAAGATTTTTCCCAAAAAAAATGTGTCTGAACACATGAGCTGGGCTTGACGCTGTTCTTAGATATATTGCCCGTCAGGTGATAAACCAAAGCACACGGACAATGAACTAGTATTATCCAAGGATCAAATCATAAACTATTATGTAAGATGGTCATATACAATGTGTCCAGAAGCAGGAGAGAGGGAAGAGCTCTTTCTTTTGTTGCAGGGCACCTGAGCCATGAAGAAAAGAAAACAATAGCTGAGAACAATGCGTTTGCAGCTAAACAATATCCTACAATACAAAAACCCGAACGTAACCCAGAATACAATAAAGCTTGCTACACCAAGAAAGACCCGATAAGTAATGGGAGTGTTGCCATGTAACATACTTCATGTTAAACTGTAAGAAACTAGAAAGAGCTAGTCTGGCCAACATCAAACTTTGACATCTAAAAACAAAGATTGATAGATCCAGGAGTAGTAGATATGAAAATTAAAAAAAGAAGAAACAAAAAGAAAAAATGGAAAAGGAAGGGAGAAAGGGAAGGGGAGAATGTTCTCTTTTTCCACGAGAAACCTGTTCACACTGGTGCTAAAGTTGATATATATAAATAACAATGGACTTATTAAATAACTAAAAATTGGGATCAAAATGCCCAAAATATTTTCCTAGAAGGCCGAGTGCGACAAGGGAGGGGTGCCGTGGGATGAACACTTGAAAAGTACACATGCGCAGTTTGCTCAATATTTATAACCACAACAAAAATGGCGACCAGCAGTAAAGTAGCAACGGATACACAGAAAAAACAATCAAATAAAGACAGAGATTCGTCCTCAGAGGAAGATGACGAGGATGGATTAGATCTAGGGACGTCTTCCATACCTTCTGTTGGCATGAAAAGCCCAAACAAAGAATTTGAAATGATAAATCTGGACGCTGACGAGGAAGACGAAGAAGAAGATGACTTAAGTCAACGTTCAGACGACCGTCGAAAAAAACGCTACAGAAAAAAGAAAAGAAAGAAAGAGGAGATAAGTGAGAGCAGCTCTGAAGATGAATCCAGTAAACTAACTTCTAAAAAGGATGACATAAACCCGGTAAAGAAAAACTAGAGTTATATCTTTTGAAATAAGCTTATATTGAAATCGTCTAAACTTTTTTGTACAAAGCTTTTGAAAAGCTTTAGAAATTTCTAATCCCAATCGATAGTTGTGTCAATGAAGCTGCTATTCTTATTTTAAGACTATCTTATTTCAACTTATCTTTATTTTTCTATTGACTTATTTCCTTTAAATGACACTATGTACTTTTATAACGTCAACAAGCAAGTCAGATAACAAGGCAGGCATGACCTTTAATAAGTTGAATACTTTCACTTCTGTCATTAATCTAATTATAAGTACCAAAAATTATGGACTGCCGTGCTTTAGAGCAGATTTACTTCGCCATTAGCTTAGCCTCCCTCGCAAATCTTTTGAGAGGTTAGAGAGGGAGGAAAAACCTCCAAAAAATGATCTGTGAGGGAGACTACTATTAGCTGTGCTCTGAATAATAAGGTGGCTTCTCGCTAAGATCATGGGTACGAGAGTGTTTCCACTAAAGGAGTAAATATATTTGTGACGAAATTAATACTGAACTACATAGACTTATTTTTGTCTGATAATGTCAAATCATTTCTGTACTTGTATTTGACACAGTCAAAACTTCTTTCATTTTGCAGCTAGGCTCAAACACCAGACATCAAATCATGTTCTAACTAGCTCCTTAAACTCATATGATTGTCACCTTAACCTAGAAGTTTCAGCTAACAAACATTCAAGTTTCAGCATGGATGATGTTTTAGAAGCCAGTTAGAACATGTCTTGATCTCTGGTACTTGCACCTAGATGTAAATAATGGTATACCTTGGAAAGATATAAGTTTGTTTTTTTGGTTAATTTTATCCTGTGCACTTAGGATTTTTCTCCAGCTTTTTTTTTTGTCTTCCCTCTAAGATCACATGTAATGCCAGGCTGGTCCTTGAATCAAACCTATGACACACCACCCATGCTTCCCATTATTCTGGTCCCAAAGGCTTGATGAATTTTTCCCTGCCTAGTATTTCAAGGTATGAAGCATTCATCCAGCCTCTGGGACCAGGGTAGCTCCCTATTTAACATGAGGGTAAAACTATTGTTTCTTTTTCAGTCTGATCTGAACTGGCCACTATACTTTTGGTATTATATTGTAGCTGTATCAACTGGGGCTTTGAGAGGTAGAGTACTTCTAGCAACATGATTGGACAAATTATCGATGTATTAAAGACTATTATTATGGCAGTTGTATACTTAAGGATGCCTAGGCATAATTATATTCAGTCGGGCAGGTTAGCTGTGACCGACTAAACAAAACCTATCTAGATATATTTACAATATTAAAACTGTAAATTAAACTCTATCTACATTCATTAATAATAATTGTCGCTTAGAACTATTTACTATTGTCACTATTTATTATTATTATTAATATTATTATTATCATCATCGTTATCATTACTAGAAACTATGAAATGCCATTTCAACAACATGTCATACCGTGCTGTAAGTCAGTACCATGTTTCAAATTCATATTTTCAATTCAATTTTTTTAATTCAATTTTTTAACATTTTGGTTTACCTTTGTTTTTTTTTAACCACAGGCATCCCATTTATAATTGTCTTGACTTGATATGGACATTCTTTTTTTCAACATATTCTTGAAGATATTTTTAATGCCATGATGTTGATTGCAGTTGCAGAATGCTTAGGAGAAAAACTTGCATATGTTTTTGGCATAACGTCACCCAAGTATCAATATGTCATTGATGAATACTACAGATTAAAGGAAATTGTAAGTTATGCCTCTGTAGTTATTGGGTATTAAATATAAATTCTATTCCATCCATTTATAAATATCATTCATTCGTCCATTCATTGGTCTCATTGAACCATCCATTCATCCTGCCAGCCAACACATTCATTCAAAAGCTTCTGTTCTTGATTATTTATCTGTTCATTTCATTTCTTTGTTAATCTTTTTCAAAGGAAGAAGAAGAAGAAGAAAGAGAAAAAAGAGAGAGAGAATATGTAGAGAAAAAGCAAGCAGAGAGAATCGCACAGCTGGAGGGTGGTGAAAAAGCTTCTGAAATCTTAACCATACCAGAGGAGGATGTTAGCAATACTGCCAAATAGACCAGCAAACTTAAACAATTGAAAACAAAAAATGGCAAGAGAAATGCGTAGGTATTTTTCTTGGTCAAATGGTGTTCTCGGTAAAAGGGGACCAAAGATTCTACTGGTTCTACACCCATGCATTTTTGTAATATATAGACACAGACTCAGACCTTTGGGGTTTTGATATCTGTCAATCAAAAAACATCCCAGACAATTGGAAATTTGATTGACAAAAGCCAAAAACCCAGACATCTATGGCTGTGTAAGTCATGTTATTGTGAAAACAGGCATTATTGACCTGTGTGCAGATTTGCCCCACCCCCTTGGGAAAAATGGGGTGAGGAAAGTTCTTTTCAGCCTTTACCCCAAGGGGGGAGGGGATAGTAACCAGGTTTTAAAATAATGGCCAGTCATTGCACAATGTCTGTTGGGGGGTACTCCCCTACATTCGCTATACGGGTACATGCCACCAAACAGGGTATGGTTTTCAGCGATTCTACTCTGGAACAGGGTATATAAAATCACGCTTGCTCTGAGACAGGGTATATGAAAAATCACGCTCTCTCCCCTCTGGAACARGGTATCTATTTTCACAATACCAGAACAGGGTAAGGTTTTCAGCAATCTTGTTCTGGAATAGGGTATGAATTTCAGCAATTTTATCTGGAACAGGGTCAGGGTTCAGAGGGCTCAGCGGCACATCCCTACCTTAAAGAGTAAGAGTACCCCCCTCCCCCCCGAAATGTCTGGTCAGAATTGAAACTGGTCTGGTCAAATCTTTGTCTTACAGGTTATTTTGACCAGTAAAGTTGAGCCAGAAATGAGGTGTGACTGAGCTAAAACTAATTTGGCCAGTCAAAATGACCTGCAACTGACCAGCCCTCATTTTTAGCCGTTGTGGATAAAACAAACAGGAATCGTGATGTTCCTTCATTTCTATTCAAATACATTAACAATCATTGCTTGAGTGATTTGTTTCACCCTATAGTAATCTTCCTGCTTCATACATAATGTACAATTCTAAAAACAATTTGCAATCAGTACCTTTGAGGTTACTGAATTTGGCAATTTTTGTAAAAGTCTTACTCTATAGAATAGAAGATTTTTTGTTTGACACTGTGAAACACTTGCAGATTGTATATAATCCATGCATGAAATAGATTCTGTTTTTCATTGAAAAACTAGAGTGTTGTTGATGTTAGACTTCCCTCAATAACCTCCCCTCCCCACTTAGTGGGATTGATCTTTCCAACATAAAGATAACAGTATATATTATCTCGATATGCACTCTATTCCTTGGAATTCCTTGTTATTTAATTTCTAATAACTAGGAAATAATTATTGAAGATGAAGACTTTTTTTTAAAAACCTTAATTAAAAAAGTCTAAAACCCTAGACGTCTTGGACTTTGACTTATTCACCACCTTACATACATGTCTTCTCTGGTCAAACACAAAGCATTCAACCAAGGTGGAACTAGGGGAGGGGGGCAGGGTTTGTCCAAACCCCCAAAATAAGAAAGGCAAGCCCCCTTTTTAGGCCATCTTGATCATACAGACCTCTTAGCTTCGTTGTTTGTTGTGCACATTTCAGACCATGTGATGCCACTCTTGGGAGTTGATTTTTTCATGTGTAAATATTTTTAACAATTTCGTCATAAAAGAACAATTCTCAAGGGAATGTCATGTGATCTGAAATGGGCAATTTGCATACTATGGTAAATGGATCTATCGAAGCCCCTAAAAGGCAATAACAGGACGTCCCCTGGCAATATTGAATTATGTGTCTGAGAAAGAAGATAGGAAAGCCAATCCATAGAGTTTTTTTTTTTGGTTGGTCAAATCTGTTTTCTGAACCTCCTTCCCCAAAATCCTTGATCCACCCCTGAATGGCTAGTATTTGCATTTAGATGTAATTCGTTTTTGTAAAAACCCTTAAAGTAATAAAGTATTTGTAGCAAATGTGGTTAAGCAATGTATGGTATTGCACTGTGCCCACCACTACGACTATTGTGCACTGTAGCAAAATTATCCCAAGTAGCTTACCAAACAAAAAATCGTTTGCAATCTTTTATAGTATTTATTCTCTTTGCAAATGACATATCTACATTGTTTAGCAGTGGGAAAAGCAAAGGTTTTTTTCAAACTTAAAAAGTCAAAATCACTTTTACAAAGAGATGCATTAATCCATCAAACAAAAATAGGTTTCTGTGTTCAATTTTCAACGACCAACACACTTGATTCCTCTCTGATGAATGCTTGCCATGAAAACTGAATGATATCGATCTGTTCCTTGGTCTTTACTGGCTAATGGTTCTTTCTTCCCATCGTGTCCAATCGAAATATTCCTCTCCTTTGTTTGTAGTAGGACTCTATGATTGTTCTACATTCTGCTTCACTCATATCTGATGCACATAGCTTCCGAGCCAGTAGGGTTGCCTAAAGGAAAAAGAATCGCTACTGAGTTTTTTGCTTTAATAATATAAGTTTAACTTATAACGTACCAAGGAAATTTTATGACAGGGGGGGAGATCACGATTGGGTGCATATTCCTTTTCCCTTAAAATCCCACCCATTTTTGCTATCTTTCTTCTCTCTCTCTCTCTCTCTCTCTCTCTCTCTCTCTCTCTCTCTCTCTCTCTCTCTCTCTCTCTCTCTCTCTCTGCCTTTCTTTCTTTTTTCTCTTTCTTTCTTTTTCTTTCTTTCTTTCATTCATTCTTCCTTTCTTTCTCTCTTTCTTTGACCTATGATCTATGATAATTGTCTTTACTAAGAAAATGCTGATTGCTAGTCCTCCCTTATAGAATTGAGTAAATGTGTTATATCAGCGTCCTTACATATGTTACGCACTTGAGAATTTAAAAAAATGAACCATGAAACAACCTCTGGGCTGATCTAAGTCAGGGCATGGCTAACTCACAGACCAAACCCTGAAACAACCTCTGGCCTGATCTAAGTCAGGGCATGGCTAACTCACAGATCGAACCCTGAAACAACTTCTGGGCTGATCTAAGTCAGGGCATGGCTAACTCACAGATCGAACCCTGAAACAACCTCTGGACTAATCTAATTAAGTCAGGGTATGGCTAAGTCACTATGTGATCTGAGATCAAAATGGGATTTAGCTTGTTAAGTTTTGCGGAGGGAGGAAAACTGGAGAACCCGGAGAAAACCCCTCGAAACAGAACAGTCTATGATAGCTCTAAGTCGTGAAACACTAGGCGTTTTCATATTCATTACCTACCTACAGAGAAAAGTTTATCGTTTTTGATTAATAGGGCCATCGAGGACGGATGGTTTTCACCCTTAATATTTAATAATTCGATGCAAAATAACTTGCTCGCGTGCGCGCTACAGCAGATTGGAATTTTGATAAAGAGAAGTTTCCTCCCTACGTGATAAATTAAAGAGTAATTCTATTATTCGTTACAAAGTATTCAAAAATAAAAATAAACTTAACTCATTCGGCGCAGGTTGTTTTACGAAAGATAAGAATAGAATTTACGCCAGAGGTTTTCCGTTGTCAATCCCTGAAAAAAGTTGCATCTGTTCTACTATTAAGAAAACCTCGTTTACATAACTAACCCTCAGATCAAAGGAAAATTGTAGGTGACAATAATCCTCTTAAAAAATCATAAAATTCCTAATGACATTATTGAGATCTACAAAAGTGCTAAAATATACTCCATTATATAATCAAAAAAACTTATGGCCGTCTCAATAATGTAGTTTTAATTTGAGAAATCTCCTGCTAACATCGACACTAGGGCTAGCGCTGTTTCTTAGCGTCAGTTGTTCTGAATACCGATAACAGAAACATGGTGTGATAGTATAGCCGGGAGTCGTGTTTAAATACTTCCTAATAAACAGCCCCTTTTCTCATTCGGTAATCACGCTGTGCTGGATTAATTTATAATAACTTTATTTGCAAACAAATAATAATTAATAGAAAATAGTTGCAAAAAGGGAGCTGCCAAGGAAGAATTGAATCCTCTTATACGGATTGACTGACCTAAATACTTGTTATCATCTAAGATAGTAAAGCTAACTGGCCTAGTATAGCCCACATAGGTTAATTCCAGTTAGCTTGCACCTAAATATATGGCAATTTATCTCTTTGTCCTAACTTATCTTATGTGATATTTATGGTGCTAAATAAGAGATTGTCATTGTCATTGACTGAAGACTCATCTTCCTTTTTTTTTTTTTTTTTTTTTTTTTTTTTTTTTTTTTTTTCATTACTTTTTTCCAAGAAAGAATAAAGCTTTTCATGTAGTGTGTCACACCATGTCATACCGAGTTGATCATATTTGCTCATGCGCTGATCAAACTCCTAGCTCATGTACATGATTTGTTGCTACAAACGAACAAGGTTAACTACATCAAGAATGATTCATTTATCGCGATCGTAAAAACTTAAAACGCATGCAGTATTAAAAGATCAGAGTTAGGATTTTTAACAAATTAAGATGTGAAAAAACTTGTTCTAATCCCAATCGTTGAGCATGGTTCTCTAGTGGGTGGACCTATCACCTAGCTTGTCTTATCTTTCGTCCCGTAATCAGCCATCTTGTAGTTGCAAGCAAATCAATCAAAAATCTACAATTTTGACATAGTGACACCAACGAATATCTTTCCTTAAGGTTTGAGTTTTGATGGAACATTTGTGGGGAATTCCGAGGGCGGCTTTCGAAATTTGATTCAATTCAGTTAAGACACGCCGTCACCGATATCGCTGCTCAAAACGCTACATAGTTGCTGCGCATTTTCACGAAAGCAGTGGCCAGAAATCCCTACCAAACGTGTTAGTGACCGTTCTTTTACCTTGGCTCTTTTTGCGAGGCTTCGCTTACCACTTTTTCCTTGGAGCTGCCAAATAGCACAACCCATCTGAGCCATGCACAGCCCAACGATCACGATTACAACAAGAGTAGACGTTTTCATTGCGATCGCGGTTAGCTTTAGTATAATAAAGACCTCAACATTCTCCAATACTCTTTATAAGGGTACGTTATAACTCATTTCCAGCGCTAAAAAATCGTTAGCTACAATTTGCTTTGTTCTTACGCAGCGAGAGGTCTCGCGTTAGTCATAGAACCCACAGGAAAAAAGAAATACGTACAAAACAGCGGAAATAAAGCCTACGAGAAAATGAGACGATACCAAGACGAGTAATCGGGGAAAATATACCTATGTGCATCAGTTATGTGCTACAGCAATTTGCAGCCCCAAAACAGCACGAATCATTCGTTACCTGAGTGTTTGTACATACTATGTCCTCTCGCTTGCCGATTCCTGCTCCCATACCCACAATACCGCTTCTAACACAACCTACAAGAAGTAGGACTACAAACGCCAACAGAAGGCTACACAGCTCGAATTTCATCGAAGGATTTTGGTGTACGCCGCCGGGTAGAAAAGCAAGGGAAATCAATTCTAGATAAAAAGTGGAGCGGCCTTATGTATACAACCGGTGAAGTCGAACAGTTTTCGTAGTAAAAAACGAACTAAAGTAGTCATTATCTAAATGGAAAATAAAAAGGGAATATTGACCTAAGTACATCATTCGATGTTGGCGGTAGAGCAGTTCAATCTGTACCGCAGTTATTTCGATTCAATATTTACCTTGATATTTTGTGTGAAGGTTCTTTTCCCGCTGGCGCCATCTAAACCCCATATGGCATGGGTCTGTCCGACTAATTGTAGAGTTAAAACTAACCCAATACACACTACAACTCTCAGATGGTTCATTCTGATCAAACTTCTTCTTACAAAATGCTCAGAAATACGGGATTTTCACCTCTTTATACTTGTACGTTGTGATTGTTAAGTTGATGGAAAGCCTATCAGGATAAATAGACTATGGTTATCACAGCAAGGAACTGGATTTGCAAGACCATCTGTTTCTATAAGCCTGCTAATTCCAGATCAGATGCAACTGTATTTTTTATTGATTTTCAATATTATTTTACAACACTAGAAACATTTGGCGGTTAATGGCAAATAACTCCTGAATGCTAATCAAGTCACTTGCTCTTTTCATTTTTCATTGCCCAGTGGGGCACTTGGTTAATTTGTCAGGCTGTTGTTAAGTGGTTTGCTACAAGGATGATGACTGAGCGCAATTTTAATCTTACACGTTTTTATGAGTCTTAATCAGTTGGTAAAAAAGTCAGATATCCATCCAGTTGATATATTTATAAAATATTGTCTGTAAATGAGCCTCTCAAAAACACGAGAAAAATATTTATGGGAGCTTTTTAGTGGGTCTTTGAGCTTAACAAATTGCTCAGTCGCACAAATTGGTAGGCAACAAAATAACTATATTGAACTATATTGATAGCAGTACCGTTTGATCAAACACATGAAAACAAGCACCAGTTGAACGTACGTTCAGATCAGGTGATTTTGAGTTACAAAACGTATCCTCTAAACAAAATCTTGAAATTAAACAAGTTGAATAAGGCAATAAGCTCTAGTTTTTAAGGTTGGTTTGACGTTAGGGGGGGAAAAGCGTAGGAGTTAGAGAAACATGATGTGAAATGGCTTGGATATTTTATGATGAAAATGAGTTGGGGGTGTGAGAGGGAGGCTTGCTGAGATGCGGTACATATCATGATTCTATATATTTCGCCCAATATGCTACAGTAGAAACGAAGATTCTCTTGTGCAGGAAATAATAACGAGTMTTTTAGCATGTTTTAACATGCTTTACCTACTGCAACCAATACAAAGAATGACTTATTGAACATGGCAACCCACGAAAGGGGAGCGACCACCCTTCCAAAAAACGTTTGAAAAAAAAGACTAAAAATTGTATACTTTTTTTTATGAAAGAAAGATTATAATTTTAATTTCTATTTATTCGATAGTTTTCTTTGGATATCATGAAAAGTAACTGTTTTGCACCTTGTGTGATCTCAATCGGCACCTATCGAAGTTTTAATAATTCATGCGGGATTCCTGTGGATATGGCGGGAAACTTGAAACCTTCTTCCCTCCTCCTCCCCCTTTGTGTTCAAGACTTCCTCACCGATATTCACTATGCTATATTTTCAGTTTATAGAAACAGCCTTTTGACATTGTTGTAATATTGAGCGCGAGTTTACTAAGGTTCTTTTTATTAGCAATTTACTGATACATTTGGTGGTTAACGACTTGAAAAGATGTTTGTTAAGGAAGCGGCGAATGACGCTTAACTAGTCTGATACTGTCTACTATTAGTAATATCCCTTCATTTGAAACTGGGCTAGAAAACTATTCACGGAAACTGCTCACGAATCGATAGGATGTTGAGTTAAGACTAAAGATAGATTGCAGTCCGCGTTGTTTAGTTATACAAAACTAGATAGTTACTTCGCTAGATTATTTAGAGCAGGATACTAGCAAGTTTAATTGCTCCAAATTTCAAAGTATGCCAGAATCTGCTTCCGAAGGAACGAGGGAAAATATTTATAAATAGAAGAGAAATATTTTGGAAGTGAATATTTTATCGTTTTTTATTAGCCGCCATCTTGTTTTTTCTCTTTCTTTCGTTTGATTACTTTATCGACTCAACAAACATGGCGGTCATGTTTACTCTTCGCTGTTTCATTTTCTTGGAAATTTTCAAACTCTGTAGAAACCTATGATGAAATACCGAATGTCTTGCCTACGATAGCTTTATTTGTAAAGCTTGGTTTCATTTCGTCTTATAATCAACTTCTAAATTCCAATTGGAATCTAAATGGGAGAAGAGCCATTCTATGGAATCCACTGTTAATCCCAATATTTACTTATTATAAAGGTTTTGTTATATTTTACTGCGAAGATACTGTAGCTTATAGAGGAATGGGATTCTTTTGGTGATTCTGAGATATTGATAATCAATAAAAAAAAAGAAATGACTAAAGAAATGGGAATAACTTCTGTTCATAGTATTGAACCTCCTTTACTCGTTAACTACACTATGCCTCTCGAGCCTGAACAAGGAAGTTACAGAGAGCATAACAGTGCGAGCGCATTGAATGCAAAGAAACGCTTGAAAAAAGTCGAGCACTTATTAGTCGTGCAGGAGTGAGTAAGTAAGTGAGTAAAGCGTTTGAGTGGGGACAATAATAATAATACAACACATCAATAGAGACAAATTGAATTGAATCAGTACAGCTAAACCGAGTAGTGCTTTTACCGCATTTCAAACACAATTCGATTTTTGATGAAATTAAAACCGGATTATGAATTTAAAAGTAGTATGAATTGATGACGCGATCGTTATCCTCAAGAATCTCACGACTTCTTGTCCCCGCTGCTGTGGAATCAAGCTGATCAACCCTGCCAGCTATAAATTGTAACATAACCTTTTCTAATTAGGGACGCTTTCTTTTTGTATTTCGTTAGCCGCACGGCTATTAAGTTGCCAACAAGTTGGCTTGTCAATAATTCAAGGCATCCATCAATGCAAAGCCACTAAGGCACCTCCCAGGGATTTCAGTGAATTCGCAAAAATAAAAGGGAGTAAGAAAAAAATGAGGAAAAGCTATAGCCTGAGAGAAATAACGGAATGACTTTTCGTTATGAGTGCAGGAAGCTAGTAATAGTTTATTCTACCATCCATGGGGTCATGATGAAGGCGTTCGACACCAAATCCAATTGGAATTTAGAAGTTAATTTTAATGAGAACATAAAGAAAAAGCAAAGAACTAGGCCCAGAAAAACCGAAGCATAAGACATATTATAAAATATGGGTGATATTACCATTAGTTAATAAAAAAATAATTTTATTTCAAAATAAACTGACTTTTTCATTTTCTTGAATTTAGATTAAAAAGGTTGTAAAATCTACCTTAATGGAAGTCAAGCAGTAACAAATATATTTAAAAAAGAGCTAAAAAATCATTGTCTCCTAAGTCGTTCTCTTTTCTTGGTTAAAAAAACGCATCTTAGAATTTGTAATTAAATTTGTATTTGGATTAAATAAAATAAAGGGAGTCGAATTTTGTATAACCAAACGAGTTGTCAGTAAGATTGAGGAAGTATTATCCAGCTTAAAAGTAACCTGCTCAAAGTTAATGGCTCGAATACTCGCCAATTAACGTTTAAAATAGATAGTCCATACTGTGTAGTATAGACTTGGACTAATAATATGAAGTGGTATATGAATCATATATTTTGTCGTTTATCAATCATATTAATTGGTCGTGTACAAGAAGCTGTTGGCAGATACGAATGAAGTGAGGCTTAAACGTTGAGGTAAAACATTCCTTCGTTTCAAAAGAAAGTCATTTCATTAAATAAATTATTCGGTCAACTGAAAATGTTTTACGATAAGAACGACGTGGTTTGAAGAAACATTGCATAATTCGTAGATAAAAATGCATAAGAAGTAGAATTTTGCCGTGTGCGACACATAAAAATAATGCCCGAATCTCAGCCTTTTTGGCGCGAAAGTTCCCCGTTTTTGGCGCAAAAGTTCCCGGTCTAAAATGTGAAGAGAACCATTTAAGGTATTGTCATACGTGCTAGTCTTCGTTACGATTGAATGAATTTTAATTTAAAAAAATAAAATAAAAAACATCGATCGTTAAAGCAATAAGCCAGTTCGTAGTTTAAGAATTGTAATTAAACGAAAGAAGGTGAAAAATTCGGGATAAAATTGCATGCGCACTGGATTAAACGATCCCTAAACTAAGAACTTGCTTATTGAAGGCAGCATAAAGGGTAGAGAAACAAACGTATGAAGCAAACTGAAACAGCGAAGGGAAAAATGCAAGGAAAAACAGGTTTCCGAAACGGTATAAGTCTTGGCATGAGTCAGTAAATGTTAGCAAACGAGCGCGGGGTTGCCTAAACGTGTCATACAGCGTATGATATTCAGAACAAAACAAAGGAATTAATTCAGTGCCTTTCAGCTTTAAGCAGGGGCGGATCCAGGGGTAATATAGGTGACTAGTCTCCCCCCTCTTGCTCAACTTTTTCTCGGTATATCGTTAGTAACAGTCACCCCCCCTTTTTCTCGAATTCCTTGTAAAACCTTTGCAATGGTCTTGGGTTTGGCACCCGAAACGTGTTTGTTAGGTCTCTCCTTTGAATGGGGGCTTATTCTCCGGGTTTTCCGGTTTTCCCCTCTCTCTCTTTAAATTCCAATTTGATTTTTGAGTTAGCCGTGCCCTGACTTAGATCAGCCCAGAGGTTGTTTCAGGGATCAATCTGTGAGTTAGTCGTGCCCTGACTTAGATCAGCCCAGAGGTTGTTTCAGGGATCGATCTGTGAATTAGCCGTGCCCTGACTTAGATCATCCATGAAGCTGTTTCAGGGTATGTGTGAAATTTGATCACGAAGTTTCAATCGATACTTTCGCGCTATATGCATTTACCTTACCTTAAATCCGAAAAWTTTTTTTTTTAACACTAAACATTTACAGCCTGCTGTGTTTTACAACATAACTCTCTGTGAACATTTCTTTTGCTATCTCAAAAACCAGTAATAACATTTAAGACCTATCGTGTTTCTGAATACCGRGCAATTACTTGGCGTTAATGGCGTCTAAACGTCTCTTGGTATAGGAGTAAAGGCTATTGATTCTATAGGTAATTAAATTTGAATGAGAAAGAGATGCTTCTGCAGTGTTAGTATTTTGATGTTCATACCCTCGTGTGAATCAATAGATTTTTAACAACAAGAAAGAGCACTGTTTACTTTCTTCACAAAGATGAAGAATATACTTGTAAAACACGAGGGTTTTCATTAATATATTCAATGTTATATTTTTCTTCCTTCTTTTGTTACGTTACTTTTTTTCCTTCTTCCTTTTCTTCGTTCCTTTTTCTTCCTTCTCACGCTTCCTTCCTTGCTCGTTACGTTTGCATCCGTCCGTCTGTCATTTTTCTTTCCTTCTCTTTAATACAGAAGCCAATCCGAAAAATCCTAGATTCGAGGGAGTGACCATCTCAAGCAGGCACAGTCATTTGTAAAACAATTTTGACCAAACAAAGCCCCTCACTAAGTTTCAATGTTCTTTCACTGGTAAAGTCTAAATCCTTCACAGGCAACGAGCCTATCAGCGTGAAGTGAACATCACACAACTTGTTAGCGTTACCCCGTGGGGAAAAAATTAGCGCCTCACAGCTGGTCTGACTGGCGTAGGATAGTGTCTGTTTTTTCTATCCAAAAAAATAAAAACTTATAATAATAATATGTGGAACAAGTCTTTTAGAAATAATTTGGCATTGAATATGACTTCAAACTTAATTAAAAGATTTGATGGCTACAATATATATATAGTTTTTTAAAACTTCAAGTGAGGCTTAAACACAAGTAAGTATAAAATTTAAGGTACCCACCCCTCCCTGTTACAATTTTTGTTCAAATAGGGGATGATGTGGGGTTTACTTTGCCGAGTTAAGTCTCTCGTTATCATTTTTACAGTGACTCCGTTCTTTCGAAGTTAGCTTTCGCCTCTCCTAGAAGTGCAATTGGAGCAATTTGAGCTGCTCTGACAAGTTTGGGGTGTTTTATATTCAGAAACCACTTGCCTGGATTTGCTTTGGTTTTGGTTGACGTGATGGGTAGCTAGGTTTTAGATCGCGCTTTAGAGCTTGGTGTCTTTGCAGAACCGACTCAAATGAGACAGAATGTGATTTAGGATTTAGTTTAAAACTGGAATAACAATTGGGATTTTAAATTCAGGCTTGTTTGCATGGCATTGGACATTAGTTGAAGAAGATATGCAAAACTGTTATTCCCGTGAATATTGGTCTTTAAGCTTACCATCACATGCAGTACATTCACATGTGAAGTTATCACCTTTTATTTTCCCCTCGTGAATCCTATAGTTTGATTGCGAAAATTTCCATACTCCCTTTAGGCCCCGTCCGCACGTATCCGGAAATTTTTGTATCCGCAAATAATTGTTTGCGGATACGAAAATGTTTGCGTCCACACGCAGCGTATTCGAATCGTTTTCACCGTCCACACGTATCCGTTTTCATAAAATTTGCGGATACGGACACAAAAATTTGCGGATACGTGTGGACGGGGCCTTTGCCAAATGCAAGGTTTTCTCTACAGTCTGTTTATATTTTCGTGCGACGCCGCATTGCAGATATGCACGGGCTCAATGCTAACAAGTTCTGAGCTTTGTCCATGCAAGCCTGGTTACAAAAAAATAGCTAGGAAAACATGCACGCGCATAACATATTCGTCTATTAAGAGACACTTGTCCCTTTTGACCAATCAGATCGCGCGTAACATCTGTTTTATAATCCCATGATATGCCATCATTTGACTTACATGCAACCATTTCACAACTCTTTATGTGGAATTTACGTACTTTCGCTTTAAGATCAACAAACTCTAGCTTCAAAACGCAACGTCCTAAAAATTCGAGCCAACGACTAAGAAATGAATATCCGGCGCAGGGTTTCATGCCGGGTACGGCATAAAACAGACCAAATACCCGGTAATCCAATATTTTACAAGAATATAAATGACATTATGGGAGTTACGGGTAACTAGCTACAGGGAAGTATGCCGGATACTGTTGCATGTCGTTTTGATATACACTCAAATGAAAAATCATTATCACGTTCAAAACATAGATGCTGAGACTGAAAGGTATTCAGGGAAATAACATGATTATCCTCTGATGTATTCATTTGAGATACACAGTAGATATGAAAAGTGTTAAAAGCCTTCATGTTATCTGTCAGTGAAACAATATATGAACATTCCACGAGGTGTATCACTAGATATCTCTCGTTAACGTACTTCCCATGTACCGTTTTGAAGTTTTTCAAACTCTAAAATAAGATCTTGCAATTGAGTGTATACAAATATGATTATATTTTCTAGACTTATTCAATCCTACTCATTTTGCTGGGTAGCAATTATTTCTTGTAAATGAAAGATATTAAATAGTAACTAGTATTCCACTTACCCGATGATAAAATAATATATATAGCATGCTGCATCTATGAAAAGCCAGCGAGCTCTCACACGGTTCTTACTGATTTATCCTGGTTTGCCAATGTTTTAGGAACTACATTTCTTCATATTCATCAATGAATGCATTCCTTCAAACGATACTAAAATTTGTCTGGTTCTGTATTCAGAAAAGAGGTTCAAAATACGATAAATTTAACTGTTAGCTGCCCAACATTTATCTCCATCTTTTCGTCTTCACATCAACTAATTATGCTAATCAAGTATATGTCTAAATATAGCAGTTTGAAACTGGCGCCTGTGCTATGTGACATTCTCGTACCCAGAGCTCCTCGGTATCAAGGTGATTGTTATCCCTAGGGGGGTCACCTGGGGATTATTTCGTCTGAGAAGGAGAGAGGGGCTGGAGATTGTTCTTCTATTGTTCTAAGAACCCTTTGAAGAAGTAAAAGGTATAAAATCGGGGATATAAAACATAAATTTCTTATAATAATCAGATAAATTGCTATTTTTATGCGTATTTGAAAGAAATGTTCCGGCCACTAAGTCAAGTGAATTTGGTTTATAAATATTTGGACAGTACGGGATACTTTCCAAGTGTAATTAGTAAACAAAGAAATAATACTCAATGAGAAGTCATGCACATGATGAAAAAGTGACGGGAAAAAGATCTGGCACTAACGTGGTTTTGACGTCATAATAGGAATATGAAGCTCACATGAAGACATATTTCACAGCCAGTGTTAATTCATGTACTAAGAAGCCGTGAAACTCGCAAAACAAAAGCCAACTTCTTAAGAGTTTATAAAAGGGAGCTCGTGGTCCTAGCCTCCGATTCCCATTATGACGTCACTCGACCCAATCTATCAATCCGCGGTACTGACAAAATGCGCGTTTTCATGACCAAATGGCATGTAAAATAATCGGGTACAAACCCAAATGCTCAAAATTAAAAAGTGGTGCTCCAAACTCGAAAAAGTACTCAAAACTTGCACAGCGCAATGGGGACAGGCCTACCAGTGCTCACTTTCACATTCTTGTGTAACTATTCGAATTTCTTTTACATAATGTACTTGCAAACATAACGCTCCAAGTTATGACAGCCAAAGTCATACCACGCCCCACCCGCTATTCCAAAATCAACACAGTTTTCTGTTGCGCCGGGGTCGTTCGGCTGACCTTCCATCCAGCTTGAAAAAATGAATGCCGAGCCATCAACCCACGTGTACTTTCCTTCCTGGTCAATATCGTTAAGTCCAATCCAAACAAACTTATCCGTTATAGCATTCTTGACCAGAGTTATCAAGAAGTTGGTCTCCTCGAGGCTTGTGACCGAGGTGAGGTGGGAACCTTGTGCTTTGCAAGTCGATACAGCATCGTTCCATTTCATGGCAACAGGGAATACTTTGTAGCATTTTCCATGCAATTCTGTCCATTCTGGCTTACAGACTGAAATTTGAGAATAGAAGTGCATGCTACATTATTCGCGAGGCTATGAGGGACTGTGCAATAATTATCGGGGGGGGGGGTTGGGGCTCTAAAATTAATAGGGGGGTTAAAAAATAAATTGCAGTGGAGGGTAGGGGGTGTTAGAAGCTAATTGCTTAAATATGGAGAGGGGAGATCATAAGTCAATTTGGGATTTTGTTCACTATGAAATTGAAAAGACGCATATGAATAAATTTAAAATAAACATTCATTGTTATATATTTTTTATTGTATAAAGAACACAACTTGTCACAGGTGCAACCTCAAAACCAAGAGAGTTGCTGGAATAAGGTCAAAATATATATTGACATCTTATAGGAGTCGATTTAGGGAGGGGAGGGGTGAGGTTTACCGGTACCCACCGTACCTCTGGAGGTAAAATATACTAGAATTTTCCTCAAATATCTGCAAAACTAAAAGTCAAATTGTTGAAATGAATGTAGTTTTTTATTTGAAGTATACTAAGCAACTTACTTTTGAGTATAGTAAAACTGAAAAGTCACTACAGAAATTCAGTATATCGAGCATTCTAAACTCACCCATGAGAGGGGATGGGGACATTAATCAATAAAACCGTATACCAACCAGGAACCAATCTTTTACTTTGTCCCTTAATGGACCTCTTTACCTTTGATATTTTGCCATTTCAAACCACGTATCATTCCCTAGAGTATTACTTCTTTGTTTAACGCTTTAGAGACACAGGAATGACGACTCTTAATTATTGACGACTCCAGTGTATTCGCACTTAGACTCGAATAGCGCAGCGCGATGATTCTAAAAATAGCTTAAAGATTCGGACAAACATTGCATTCTGTTTAACCGCTACGAGGATTATACCAACCGATTTTATTATTTTTACTTCAAGTTACAATAATAACCCATGTAAACTAAGATCAACTGCGATCGACTGTGAAAATCATCTGCTGAAAGTAAACTTAAAAGTTTGTTTGTCCGAATTTCGCTGCGCTATCCAGGAGTTTCGTATTTCGTTATTCTAATTTCTGGTTATTTACAGACCTCAGTGAAGCTAAGCCCGCTTACACTGGAGTTTTAAGAGTCGTCAAAATGAATACAACTGAAACAAAGAATCCTTATTCTCAAGAGAATGACACGTGGAGTCTGAAAAGGGAAAAAAACATGTCCAAGGTAGAGGTCCAGTTTATCCAGTGTACTTTGCTGAAATAATTATAACATTACCTTTAGTCTCGCATCTGACCCCTGCGTACTCCACCGCACAACTGCATGAGAATCCCCCATGTTGGTTAACGCACGTACCGTGGTTAAGACAAGGGTTGCTGGAACAATGATCTGGAACAAATAAATAATAGAAAATTGCTTCAAACTTTACAAAACCCTGATTTCCAAATACGGGAAGGTATTATAAAACACGTGAGGGAAGCGTAGGAAACCACGCCGACGCTATCTATTATTCTTAAAAAATCAACCACACCCTAAATCCATTGTTTGATGTAGGTTCTTAAATTCGGCGTAAAACCCAGATTCGTAAAGCCGGGAGCGGAATGGATATCAACAGGGGAGAGCGGRGCTGAATTATAAACCCGAGATAGGCTTTTAATTACTTTTCCTTATACTTGTCCGAGAGAACGCAAGGTATAAAAACAGTACTATCTTTATTTTTATCGGAACAATAGAGTGCAAACGCGGATATATTGTACTCTATTTCCAAAAGAACAAAGCAACAGTAATCTATCTCTCTGAATTCATTATAATTTAGTATTTCGTGTTTTGCATCGAAACAATGGAATTTAGGGCTTAGTTGATATTTTAAACCAGTTCAAACGCACGTGCTTGGTTTTGCATTAGAATTCAAGACCTCGGGCCTGCGGCCCTCTGTCTTGAATTCTAATGCAAACCCTCGTCCTAGCGTTTGAACCTTTATTTAAAGTACTACTCCATCGAATCTCCTGTTTTTTGCTGTTCAGCCTTAACCTCGATTTTGTCTAGTATGTTCACGAGTTCCATTGAAGGTCCGTGGACGTTCAAAGTTGTTGTATTGTTGAAGCTGTGCGTTCAACACTTTACCATTGGTATTTAGGAATATTTAATAATGATAATAATATCTTTATTTATCCTGATTTAAAACAATCGATCAGCTGGACACGATAGAAAAGCTCTTATGAACCAGTGATCAGCAGGAATATAAAATCTATGAAAATCTAAATAAAATCTATACTAAAATCTGCGATTAAGAACCTAAAAGAATAAATATAAGAAATGAGAAAATTAAGTATAATTTATACATATATACACAGAAACACACACACACAAAAAACGCGCCCACAAAACATATATATCCATTGTATATACGGGACGCTGACATTTAGACACTGATAAAAGGCTAATAACATGCTGAATAACATGATGATTCCATGATCAAGGAACACAGCGGTAAGTCCGACTAAAAAGGTCTATTCTCTTCCACTAGATACATTGTTGTGTTATTGTTATTACCTTTCATCTCGCACGTATTCCCAACATACTCAGCCGTACAGTTACACAAGAAACTTCCATGCAAGTTGACGCAGGTACCATTGTTAAGACAAGGGTTACTGACGCATTCATCAATGTCTATGGATTAAAAAACATGCACTATTACAAGTTTTATAAGTTGTTTAGTTTCAGGGGAAACTGTGTAATACATAGCATTCCTTATCAAAGCCACTCAGATTGATCAAATTCAGTTGAGTTTACAGTGTCGAGGTTTGGAAGAGACCCAACAAACGAGGTCAACGCCAATTTAAAAAAATCGTCTTACTTTCTCTCATTTTCTTCCCTCCTCTCYTCACCTCTCCTCTCCCTTCCCTCCCCTCCCTCCCTTTCCTTCCCTTTTCTTCCCTTCCCTTTTCTTCCCTTTCCTTCCCTTTCCTTCCCTACTTCCCTTCATAGGCAGCTGCGATTATATTTTGAGTTTGGAGGTATAAAAGAGCAAGAAGTTGTTTACGAGAGACATGATCTGTACCTTTTTACATGGTGATGAAATTGTGCAACATGAAATTTGAACAACACAATTATGCTATCAAATTCCATCTGTCCCTTTTGAAACATTTTCTCTTTTCAATAATTCAACGCACGTACTTGGGTTTTACCTTGATGTGGTATGCTTCCTCTAACTTCTCTTTTTTTCTATGCTTTCTGATGTGCACTGAATTATTTAACCATAGCGTTCCCTTCCCTTCCCTTCCCTTCCCTTCTCTTCTCTCCCCTTGCCTATTCGTTCCCTCATTCTTTTCTTGTTATTTTTGAGTTGTTTCCATCCCGTACGACGAATATCGTCAAACAAGTAACATTTCCACTTTACCCTTTTCACAGTTCTTTCCTTCTAATCCACTGCCACAGTTACATTTGTAATCGTCGCTTGTGTATAGAGCCACACAAGACCCGCCATTTAGACAAGGATTTTTCGCACACAGAGACTTGAAAAGTCATGGGGGAAAAAGAAAAATTAATACTATAAGTTACTGGACCAGAATTTTTTTTGAATGAATAAATCACACACATTTTAGAAAGAAATATCATTATAACTTATTAATGCGTTAGGGACCGATCAAAAAGTCGCCCTAGCAACTTCGATCATAATTCGTCAGCAGAATTACGTATGTTTTTCAAAAGTTTATTCAACTTTTCTTTTGGTAAGTTCGTGTTACATCGGCGTCGCTATGTTACCCTGCGATGGGCTGGCCAATGTGATCATGATTACGTACACATTATTTTAAACATCTCTATTCGACTCATAAAATGCTGCGATAATTGATGATGCTATTTTTGATATAAACTTGTGATGACGTCAGGTCGTGGAACATGTTGAACAGCTGGATTTGAATCAGCCAAATTTCGCTATTGAAGTATGGCTGTTCCTTATCAATTTGAGTCGGAAATTGCTTGAGGAGAAGATTATAATACACCCGATGAAAGTGTGAGCGAGGAAAGTGAGCTAGAAGAACTACTGGCGAACGAGGAAAGGCTCCAAGGAATCGATATTAAGTGGTGCACGGTCAGCAATGTGTCGTGATGGAAACAGTTGATGTGTTTTTATGATGTAATGAGCTTGAAACACGAAAATAAGTAATTAAATTCAACATTTTATTTCACGCAGGATTTCAATATTTCCTGTCGTTGAACTTAACTTGACACGACATGTACCATCCTTAAATTAAACGTAATTAGATAATACCGAAAAAAACTCACTTATTTGGAATATTTGTTGGAGTTGGAAGAGATGAGCCTTCTCTGTCATGAAGAGAAACTATTTAAATGCAGTCCAAAGCACATCTCGACTCAGACACACATACTGGAAGCATGTCGTGTCTATAAACTTAAAATAAAACTCAAAATCTATTTAGTTTAAACTAAGTTAAACATGTTTAGAAAAACATACCCCAATACTGTAGTGATTGTACGCCGAGTTGTTCGTCGTCAGTTTGTCTGTGTTGTTGAACAAATCCGTGTCCAGTAATTCACATTGATGCAGACCGTGTACATTGGGATGGACAGCAAAGTTGAATGAAAAGGCTGAATGATGCATTGCTGTCAAAACCACACACTCTTTAACGTTATTCACGAATACAGCACATATTGGAGTGACGATCAGGTAGCTATGTTCGTGTTTTTTAAAAGCGGCAAAGCCAACTCCACGTTCCTTGTCCCGCAGAAGCACTGAACTGTTAAGTTTGATCTTAATTTCCTGTGCACCACTAGAAATTATCACGAAAAATTGAAAAATGGCGAAAAAGGTAAAGCACGAAGTTGGTAGATTCATTATCAATTCTTGATTCACACTCTCCGTAATTAAAAATGCGATCAATATAATGCGATGAACATCTCTACSAATGGGAGAAACTTCAGCTCGCATCGTATTTCTAAAGATTATTTGCCTGTGGAGATCAAACACAAAGGTCACTAAGGTCGGTAATGAAGTGGTTTAGACAAAAATAAAATGTTTTCAAATGTCGACAGAAAAGGAAAATTTCTAGAAAAAGCTTAATCAAAATAACCGAGGAAGACCTGTGGTTAAAAACCTTGGACTCGAAAAATATTTTTAAAGTTTCATGTCCGAGAGATAATCGTAAAAAAAATCCTGACTCGAAAAATAAACGCAGTTCCATAACAAAAAACACAAGTTTCAAGAGTAAAGTTAACAAAAGTTTCAAGTTAAAGTTTCAAGTCAGAGATTATCGTAACTTATAGTACACTCAACAAAATTACTCGACTCTGATTGGTCGAGAGGAGTACAATTATAGCGTTAATTGTACTCCGTAGGAGTACCGAATTAAGAGGGCGTCTCTGTAACAGCGTGCCACTCGATCTGTACCCTGGTCCCAGAGATTTCTCGTATTTTTTTTTCTCTGTAAAATCGCCGCGAAGCGGCATCAACGAGCTGCGAAGCAGCGAGCCGCGAGAAACCTCTGGTCACGACCGTTGAGAACCTCACTTTCATGCCATCATAGCTGTCAAATCCATCATTTCTAGTCGACCAATCACAAAAGGATGATCGTGTTACAAATTATAATTAGGGTGTGGAGGCTTAATGCTATATAC